CTTCTTGAGCGTCTTGGACTTGGACTTGGTCTTCTTGGGTGCCGTCTTCTGGGTATTGTCGGCGGCGACGGCGGGGACGCCAGAGACGACGGGAGGGAGCTCTTGAGCCTGAGGCATCGTGTATGATTCTGCTGTCTCGTCAGGCGATGCCGGTTATGGAGAGTGAAACAGAATGAGAGAAGTTGTAGGGAAGTTGTAGTTTCGGGTTAGAGAAGGTGAGTTGAAGAGGGAAAAGGGGAAGAGTCGGATCGCTTGCGGATGAACGTCACCTTGCGGTCGAAAAGAGGCGTTGATCACAAAGCTGAATAAGCTGGAGGAAAGGACGGACAAGAGAAATACGGGCGTCAACTTACGTGTTTGAGGCGATGAGGCAAGATGGTAAGTGGGTTAATTGCGTTGTGAAGTCGTGAGGCGACGAAGTAGGTTGTGTGGTTGTCAGGGGTGAAGTTTGCTGTAGGTGGGTGGACGCGATGGGAAGTGAGAAGATCTGAAAGCTTTTAACTGCTGCTCGTCTGATATTTTAAAGGTAGGAAAGAACGGCGTCAAAGGCTAGCAAGAGGTGAGATGGAGGTGAGCCGGCGTCAGGGACTAGGTAGGTGAAGCGTTGGGTAACTCCCGACGGGTGGACAAGGACGACGGAGACGACAACGACGCGTCAAGACAGAAACGCGTCGAGTCTTCTCAAAGGAGAAGGAGGCACCTTCCTTCCTTTCTCACCTTCGACTTCACCTTCACCCTCCACTCTCAACCTGAGGCTGCCCCCCCTCACCCTTCTTTATCCAAACAGTGATGCCTGATTGTCACCAGAGCGGCCGGGTGGCCTGGGGGGTGATACCCTCAGGTTATCTCTCACCAAGATATTGGACTCTTCCTGTTCGATTCCCGGTCGCTGCGCAAAAACCACCTTAACCACTGGTGTACGTCGGATGTGGTGAGAGCCTCCGTCTAATGTGCATCTTTGGATAGTGGTCTCTTGTGTTCCAAAGCCTTTGATGCTGCGGGCGCTGGGGACCCGGTTTCGGTGCTACGAGCCTGGAAATTCTTTGAAAACCTTCCTCTGATCAATTCAGAAATTCTTTTTTTTTGCATTTTGTTCAATCGTTCTGACTTTTGACGTGATCATTTTAGACGTGTGTAGCGATGTGTCTTCGCGCGATTGATAAGTGAATTGACACTTCATGCCTAAACGCGACAATGAAAATCAACAACTTCGAATTGAACATAAAACTGATTGACATGCCGACACATACGACGATTACGATCCTCCGCCGCACCCTCCTCCTCCTCCTCCGCAACCGCCTCCACTTATCATAACAACTGATCCTGCATATGCTCCGCAACCTGCACATCTCGTTAGCAACAGCAACAGACATTCCTCGAAAAGATCTCGACGTACCTCCTCCCATCTGGTTCGGAGTTCTCCCAGCCCATACTCCCTAAGACCCAGTCAGTAAATCTCCAAGTCCATCCATGGCTGCGAAACTTACATCCGAGGTGGAACACCCACCCGGCCCGCCGCACCCCCCGGCCGCGATGTCGTTGCTCCCACACAACCCCTGAGCGCAGCCCGCCCAGCTCCCCGTCCCGGCATGCATGATACCCGGGTCTGCCGCGACGTAGATGCCCGCCGTGAGGTGCGCCGGGTACATGTTCGGCCCGTAGCGGTGATACGTGCTGCCCCAGTGGTTGTAGTACTCCTCGGGCTTGGGCAGCTTGACGCCCTTCTTCGACGCGCGCTTGGCGGCCCGCTCGTACGCGCCGTCCATGCGGTGCTTGCAAATCTGGCGCTGCTGGTAGCGCAGGGCCTTGCGGCCGCCGTTCTCTTTGGAGAGGACGGCGTTGTGGGCGGAGATGTGGACTTCCGCGCCTGGAGCGGAGGGCTTCGCGGAGGCGTTGAAGTTGTCGATCGCTGGGTAAAGTTAGACTTTCAGTTCATGGAGACCAAGAAAGGGGGAGATGGGTGGAGGTTACTTTTCTGCTGCTTTGTGCGCCCAAAGATGCTCGAGTCGTTGATGGTGTGGTTTGTGCGAATAACTGTCAAGTGTCAACTTCAAAGCGGCCTGCCAAAGAAAAGGGGGGAATCCTTGACATACTATCACACCACCCACAAACACACTCGGAGTACACCTCCCCGAACTTGTCCAGATATGTCCTGCTGCTCCACTCAAACGCCTCCGTAAGCCGCTCCTCGTCGATCTTGTCGTTGTGGTCGATGAACCTGGCCTCCTTGGTCCCCGTGGTCGCGGAGTTGAAAATGCTGAACTTGTAGTACGCCCGCGGGACCAGCTGGTGCGTGTGCCACGCGAGATCGACGTCGAGGGTCGGGACGCAGAGGGAGTAGGGGTTCTCGGTCATGATGAGCATGAAGCGGCTGTATTTCTGGAGGAGGCGGTCCATGGTGCCGCGCTGGTTGGGGCCGTGGAGCCAGTCGATCTGAAAAGGATGGTCAGTAAATAATACTCTTGTGCTAACTCAGTCAGGGGTTCAACTCACATTGTACATCTTCTCCACAAACACACCCTGCCGCACCGTGGCTCCAACAAGATCCAGCGCGAAGATGGAGTAATTATCCCAGTACCGCGACATCATCTTCTTGCTCTGAACTCTCTCCGTGCGCGAGAGGACCTTGTTATACGGCTTCTTGTCCAGCTCCTGGATTCGTCCGTACGCGTCGTTGTCCTCCAACGCCGCCGCAATAATATCACGAACATTCTCCATGGTCGGCGGTTTCTGCAGCCCCGGCCGCACAAGTTTCCTCAGCTCCTCAATCACCCCGAAGCCCAGCAGGCGGTTGGGGAATGTCGCCTCTCTGAAGGTCTGGCCCTGGGGCGCGTGCCCGTCGGCCTGCGGGATGGGCATGCCGACCTTGGGCTCGAGAACGGCGCTGGGGACAGTGTAGTTGTCGGAGAGGTAGTGCTCTGCGTCGCTGAGCATCTTGGCCACGGAGAGGAAGCGCCGCGTGATGATGGTGTTGCAGCCTGCCGTGCAGAGCTGGAAGAAGTCTCCGTCGCCATAGCCCTTGCCGACGAGGCCTGGTTTTCTGGTTGTCGTTAGCAGGCGATGAATGGGGTGAGTTGAGGAGGACTTACGCTTCGCCCTTGTAGAGCTCCGGTAGGCCGCAGGTGGTCCATGGGACTTCTATGGTCTCCTTGCAGACGGGGCATTCCATGTACTTCGCCATGGGCTCTGCGACGTTATCCCATGCTCGCCCAGTGCTGGCTTCCCAGTTCGCTTTGGCTGCATCCGTGGCGATGTAGTTGAACTTGGCGTCGATGATCTCGTTGACTTGAGCCCATGGCATGCCCGTTGTCCAGAAAGTCTTCATCCCGTAGCGCATCGTATCCTCGAGGAAAGCTCTGGGGTTGAGCATGTGCGCGTGCCAGATCATGAGAACATCTGCACCTGTGAGTCACGATATCGTTTAGGAGGAAAGCGATCCAACTCACCCAACGGGGGAAGGATATCCACAGTCCATGGGAAATCATTCCCGCCATCCGGAAACTCAAGATACTTCTCCGACTTGATTTTCATGTCCTCCTCTTTCAACCGCTCCCCCGCCAACGTCATCCACCAATTCTCGTACCGATCAACCGCGCGCGCCAAGAACACCGCCCACCGCTTCTCGCGTAACTTCGAGAGCACATCCTTGACATAATCCTCCGACTTCTTGCTGGACCTGGCCTCCTCGCTTTCCGGCTTCGGTCCGGCCCTCGTATCCCAGATCTCCCACAGCCCATCTGTGTACCCAATCTCCTCCTTCAGCGTCTGGATTGCAAACAGAAGTTTCAAATGAGCCAGACACGAGTCGACGTCCGGATCGCGCTGCGTGCCCAGCCTTAGCGACGAAAACGCAGTCGTCAAGTTCGCGACCTCGGCCTCGGTGGGCGGCGGCCGCGCACCTCCCTTGGACCCGTTGATGGACTCAAACGACGGCGGCTGGTCTTCGAACGCGGGCGGCTCGGTCTGTGCATCCTCGTAGGTGGGAGGCGGCGTGGCGGCGCGCTCCGCCTTGGCCTTTTCGGCCGCTGCCTCTGCCTCTTTCTCCTTCTCCTTCTTGGATCTCTTGAAGAAGGAGGGCATCGCCGCTTTGCTTAACAGTGGGACCTCTCTGGTGGGCTGACGACGTATGGGGGAAATGAGGATTGGGGAATGCGGGGTTGGATTGGGGCTGTGAGACGTCGAATGATGATTCTTAAAGTCCAACCGTTTTGACGGACATCAGATGAACTTCATGGAGACACGCGATTGCTTTTAAGCATAAACCCCAGGGCTTCCAGAAGAACCGAGGAAGAAAAATGCCTTGCCCACCACCTGAGACCTTTCTGACGTGTCCTGTAATAAGCGCCTCGTTCCTTATCGTGGATTCATTCGTGGGACCGTCAGCAGATCAGCTGGTAAACATGTCTTGGGCGACTAGGCAGACTCGTGAACTACGGCACAGCAACACCACACCCCAGATATTCCCTCTTGGCGGGCGGAAAGCAGCTTAGCGCCCGCCACCACAAAGCTTCGAGGACCCGTCGAGATGGTTCATTTCGGGCGAAGTCACCCATCCTTCACGAGGTCCATTGGCCAATCGGCAGGGTTGCGGGAGGTAAGCAATCGGGTAGCTCGTAAGCGTGTTGGAGTGGCATCTCGGACTCTTTTATCGCTCATACGCAAGGGTGCCGCTTCTCCGGATTACGGGGGTCAGGCGACTGCAGGGTTGGGTCGTTTTGAGGCCCCTTGACTGCTTCTGGTCCCTGGGTCGGTGAGCTCTTAACATCGTGATTGGCAAAGGTCATTCATTGTGCGTATTCATCCTGCCCGTCTTACCGAGATGGCGCCCAGCCAGTGTCACAATGCGTGCAACATCATGAGCGTTATTGGTTTCAGAAACAGACAGCTGAACCACTTTTCACGTTGCAAGAGATAGGTAGGCACCGTCAAGTTGTAATTCAACCGTCTTTTTTATCCTGTCCTTCCTCTTACAGCTACCTTCATTCCATTCCCATCGTCCTTTAGAAGACAAAGTTCTCAGCAACGCCCTTGACCAGGTTCTGCGCAAGCAGCTTGTGGATAGCAAGACCGGCGTGGTAGTTGTCGGCCCAGATGCAGTCGCTGGAGCCGTAGCAAGTCGCGTCCTTGGCACCGTACTGCGCAAAGTTCTCGACAACAGTATCAAAAGAAGGCTTGGTGTCGAAAACAAGACCCTTGACGCCACTGTTGGCACTCTTGAACGTGGCTAGGCGGGTGGTGAGCTCGGAGTTGTAGGAGCTGATGTCGTCGCGCAGGCGCTGCAAATCGGTCTCGCTCTGGCCGATCATGGCGGGGATCTGGTCGGAGAAGGGCGGGACGGAGAGCAGCACAAAGTTCTTCAGCCCGTCGTCGGCGAGCGTCTGGAGCAGCTCGAAGTAGCGGTCCATGATCTTGGCCACGGGCGCGGACTCCTTGTCCCAGAAGGGCTCGCCGACGTCGTTGATGCCGATCCACACGGCGACGAGCGCGTTGGCCTTGTCGGTCACGGCGGCGGAGACGTACTGCTTGTACTGGTCGACCTGGTCGTCGACGCAGTACTGCGCGTAGGTGTCGACGATGTCCTTGTCGGTGGTGGCGCCCGTGACGGCGAAGTCGTAGGTGAGGATCTGGCTGGTGTTGAGGGTGCTGGTGAGGTGGCCGACCCAGTTGAGGCCGCTCGAGGTGGTCTGGCCGGGCAGCGCCGGGTTGCCGAGCGGGTTGCCGGCGGCGGGGAGGGTGCCGCCGGGCCAGAAGCCGACGGTGGAGTAGGAGTCGCCGCTGGATCTGGGGTCAGCTGTGTGCCGGCATGCAGAGTGTTATGATCATGGTGGTGTCTTACAAGACGATCAGGCTCTTGGAGGAGCTGTTGGCCTGTCTCGGGGTGACGGCGGCGCCGCGGCTGACGTGCCAGGTAGGGCTGGCAAAGGACAGGGACAGGCCGGCTGCGAAAGAGAGAGCAGTTGCGAAAGACTTCATTTTGTCAAGAGGGGTCCAGTTGAAATGATATGTACCAGCAAATGAATATCAACAAGAAACGTAGAATTGAAGAAAGAACGTGAAGAGAAACGATAGTCAGACCAACGAGAGACTCGGACAATATCCAGAACAAGAGCCAAAAAGAGACGGTCCAAGTGGGATGGCGCCGGCGCGACATACATATTATATGAAGCCCGTCCATCCCCCCCATCCCAAAACCTAGACAGACCGAAAGGCCAAAAATCACACCAAGCAAACAGGGAGGAAAAAGGTCTTCGTCACGGCTCGTTTGCAGTACATTGAGGACTCCATCCACGGGCGCGCCACTATTCGCCGTGATTGGTGGAAGAGTCGCCCGTGGCCCGGGCTTGGGCGGTGCAACCCCCAAAAGGGGCGAGATTGCAGGCGCTCCGCTGGGGCGTGCGGGGCCGCCGTCTCCCTTTTTTGCGCAGCCGATGTCGACAGATGAGCAGATCGCGGCGCGTGGAGAGCCGTTCCCAGCGATGCTTCTGTCTGCTTGTGGCCCGAAAGAGCCTGCTGGGTTCTCGAATAGGAAGTTTCCAGTTTTGGAGATTTTCGTCTTTTGGAGGCTCTTTAGGAGTTTACGATAGAGTTGATGGGCATCATCCGAACATGCCGACTGCAACACCAGATCTGAAGAGACCCGGCAAACCGGGCAAGTGTCGAGTCAACTTGTGTTATGGTGGCCTGTTTACAGGAACATTCAGCACTTCAGAGCCTGTGTTTGAATGGTTGATTATGTGCATTTACTGAGACTTGGTTGTGGGGGACTTGTGCTCTAAACACCTATCCATGGATGACAATAGTTACTCACAACGACGGTGCCTTTCAGCGTGGTCATAAAATCCGCTTCATATCTTTCTCATATCTATGTACCAAGAATGGAATAAAATATCTACAATTGAAAAACCATAAACCACTTCCCTACAACCAACTTAGAAGGCGGGATCGGCGTTCTTGATCAGCATCTCAAAGTACTCCTGGAACCAAGTACCAGCCTCCGGCGCGGGAGTAAACGAAGACCCCGAGCTGCACTTCTCATCGTACCGCGTCGCTGAAGAGTTGCTCGTACCGTCACTCTCGCCGCCAGGCTTAACCCACACAATCGCATCCAGCGTGTCAATCCCCGTCTTCACCGTCGGCCGCGCCCCGAAGCCCGCGTCCTTGACGTTGCACCAGTCGCCCCAGATCTGCTGACCCGTGGGCTGCTTGCCGCTGCGGCCCTGGTCGACGAGGTAGTTGGCGGGGTACCCGGCCGTCTTGAGCATCGGCGTGAGCGCCGCGTGGAACTTGCTCTCGTCGTAGTTGTTGTTGGGCGTCGTGTACGAGGGCGCGGAGGTCAGGTTCCAGCCGTTGAAGTTGGAGACGTTGGTCACAAGGCCGCGGACCGCCTTGGGGGAGCCGGCCTTCTTGTACACGTCGGCGTAGAGGGTTGCCGTGGGCTGAAGGTTGGCTTCCCAGCCGAGCCAGCCGGCGTGGCCGGCGTCGACGTAGATGGCGACGTTGTCGAGGTTTAGCGTCTTGAAGGCGTAGTCGGTGGCGGCCTTGTAGGTGTCCGCTGCCTGGGAGCACTTTTGCACGCCCATGTTGGTGATGAGGTTGGCAAGTCCGTCGGGTTCTGCTCAATTCGTTAGTGTATACTCTGTGAAAATACTTATGGGTAGAAACCTACCATAGACAAACACAATACGGGTGTCAGAGTACTCCTTGGCGAGAGCAGCGATGGGGTCAATGTACTCCGTCTTGTACTTGTCCAGACCACCATCAGCGATGGCAAGCTCTCCAGCCGAAGCCTTGGCCGAGCAGTCACGGTCAGGGAAATTGTAGACAACATAGGTGCCTGCGTAAGGAGGGTTCGCGCCGCCTTGGTTCAGCTTGCGGATCTCAGCTAGAGTGCTGTTCATCAAGCTGATCTTCTCGCGAGTGTCGCTGTGTGGGTGTCAGTGGACTTGTCCAGATGATTCACACAGCACCGCGAGAACGTACAGCCAGGCGAAGGAGGGAACCTCAGCGACCTTGGCCGCCTTCGTAGCGAGGTCGCCGGTCATCTTGGGAATAGCCAGGTTCTTGATCTCATCGGCGTAGTAAGGGTTGGGAAACAGCTGCCTGTCGGCGAGGGGGTTTCCGTCGTAGGAAGCAACCTGGCGGGCCTTGACGGGTCCAGCGAGCGCGGCCGGCGCCAGAGCCGCGGCGAGGAGGAAGTGGGCGAGCATGTTGAAAGGTTCAAGACAAGATAAGGCTGGGTATCGAAGAAGAGAAAACGAGTGTCGTGCCTGCGATCGGTTACTGGCTTTTGCGCGATGGAGCTGTTTTGGCCATGTGTCTCAGAGCCGGACAACCTCGTCCTCTTATACAACACTTCGCATCCCGCCAAGCTGGAGAGAAGGCCCTGATTCCGAACACTCAACTCCGCCGCAGCCGTCAAACAAGGTCTCAAGGGTCGTCCCGGGGTTAAACACGCCGGTCCTTCATCTTAGACGGCATCCCCAAGGATGGCGGGACGATCTCTGCGGTTTACCGTCGCCCAGCGTCCTGAGGTTACTTTTTCGGCCGTGTGAGATACAATGCGGCCGGGGCTCTGCCGGCGGGGATGATGCTGGGAACACGGCCGAGTGGCATTGGCGCCGAGCCGTCCTGTGCCTGGGACGATGCTGTTTTGGGGAAGTTCGGGGGTTTGGACAGCTGTTCTTGGCCATTTAACGTGGTACGGAGCCGCTGCCTCCGAAAAATCCACGTGAGCGCATGTTAACCCCAGGGATTCTTCGGCAGTGCTGCCCGCCTTATTAGCTACCCCGGGCCCACCGAGTTCGGATGACAACATTCGACCAGAAGAAAACTGCCCAGCGTGAATGGCAATTTGGGGGCCGCCAGATTGATTAAGGGGAGAATTGCAGTCCAGGCACGCTGGGCTGTTTCGTATGGGTGTCCTTGTCCGCGGTGGTGTAACTCTGAAAGTTGGGGAAAACCTTAGTTTCGATGGAATAGAGTGAGGGGGAAACTCGAAAGAGCGCAATGTGTTTTGAGAATGCTCTGGAAGTGGGGGACCGGAGGCCCATAGGAGAATCTCGAGTCAATAGCGACGCGAACTGTATTTCCGAGACGGATGGATGAAGTCTGATTTGCCAAGTAATTGCTAAAAGGTGCAGTCTGATGCGATTTCAGGGGGGAGGTCTGCTGATGGTTTGGCTGAAGTCATGAGCCGCAGCATGCGATTGAAAGCGCTAATTATCGAGTGAATGTCGGGGAAATGAATGATGCAGCCCATCAGACTGCCGTCGTCTTATTTCTTATTCAACATCATCGGATCGTCCATCCGTTCGGACGGGCACTAAGCCCACATTTTACCCTCCATGATCGACACGTTCATAGCTGTGCACGGGACGCTCGCGATGCCGTGCGGTTTTTGTGGGAACGCGAACCCATGTTTTGGACGATAGAAATAAGAAACTTGTGCTAACACTGACGGCGATGTGGCCCTCGATTCCGGATACCAAGTCTTGGTCTTCCTTGTGAACCAAAGCTATGGTGCTGGGCATGGATACCCAAGAATCTTGGCAATGGAAATGTGCACCTAGCCCAAGCAGTACCAGCAATAGCCCCGCGTCTGAGTATGTAAGATGATCACCTCTCAATGGACATAGGCAGCCTAAGCAACAGCCTCTGGAAGACCAGAGTCCTCATGATGCATCATCTTGAAGAGCGGATCCCAGACAGTCACTGGGCTCATTGTCGACTTGCCGTACACCAAGGGGACCACGTTTTCGGCCGAGCATTCGAGGGCTTCTCCGTTGAGACTCTCATCGTCTAAGAACTTATTGAATGCGGACACGACAGTCGAGAGTTGAGTGATGCTAGAAAGTGCTGTCAGCAAAGCACTTGAGGACGTATTGTGAGGTTAATGATTACCACTCAGGATGAACTGCGGCGATCATCCCAGCGGGCACCAAAGGCGTCCGAATGACGCCAGGCAAGACGACGTTGATCCGAATGTTGTCTTTCTGTCGTCATGTTAGATGTGTCAACGGTTCCTGTGATCCACACCAGTCTCTAACATACAATCTTGAGCACTCGGGATGCCCCGCGTACGAAGCCGATCATGCCAGCTTTGGCGCCGCAATACTCCGGAGAAGCTTCGTGGGGGTTGACAGCCGCATTGCTCGATGTCGCAATGATGTTACCTCCAGGGGTCTCGTTCTTCCGCATGAAATGGATGGCCAGCTGCGTGCCGTACACCAGCCCCTTAAAGCTAATATCGGTACACACCATGTTGGGCTTTGGCGGCACTTTTTCCGACCCTCTGTGGTTGAGAATATAGATTGAGCCTCTGTCGGGAACGCCCGCGTTGGCTAGCAGTGCATCGATCCTGCCGTGCCGATTCCACACTTCCTGGAAAGTCTTCGCTTGTTCGTCGTAGCTGGAGACATCCGTCTTGTGGAAGCTGGCATTGTTGCCGAGCTCCTGTAACAGTTTCTCATTGGTGTTGATGTCGGCCATTGCGACCTGCCAACCCTGCTTCACTAGATCCCTGCTTAATGCCTCGCCTATCCCTGACTGCGAATAATGTCAGTTTCTTCGACAAACTGGAATGAGAAAAATTGCAGAATCTTCTTACGGATGCCCCAGTCACGATCGCAACCTTCCTGTCCGACCTCCTTAGTGGGGCAACATCGGCTTTTCCTCTCAGACCGATCGTCGATGTCTTGGAAAGCTGGAATCTCCTTGGTGTCTTGTCATGATGGATGTATCGAAGCTGGCGAGCTGCAGGTGCCTGAGTTGGCAATGCCCTCGTTGCGAGCCTGGCCACACGACCAACGGTACAAGGCCGAAGAAGCATTGTATCAAGTCTGAGAATATCCAAGTTACAGACTCAAATAAGCGAGCGGACAGGAGGCTGTATTTAAAACAGTTCCTTTCAAATAGCGGCGGTCAGATTTCCAATACAACTTCCGACCGCCTTTCATGTATGACGACTCACAACCAAACGTGCGCAGCGTTATCCAATGAGGAGAGGACTTGCTACGTCAATTGCCGCAACTGTTTGTTTCTGTCTTGGGTTGCATGTTGGCGCAAGAATGGAAATTCTACAGCAGAGACAATGAAGGAGAAGGTCGGTTAAACTGCTGAACGGGACCCTGTTGTTAGCAAACATCAACCAGCTGACAGTCATGCCCTGTCGCCCGTGACGGTATTGATCAATGGGATAACTTCTCTCTGTACACCCCTGGCGCAATCATCTTCTCCGTCTAAAAACCAAAAACCATTTGTGTGAATATTTAATTCATTCAGCACGACTGAACTAGACTGAACTGGCAATACAGCTCTCAGTAGCGCGATGAACGGTAGTTGGCTGGATTTGGGCATGAAATGTCGTCTTTATGGGTTCCATGTTGACTAACATAAGCATTCTAGCCCGTTCAACAAATCCATCCCAGAGTTGAAGCGAATATGCGAGCGAGTTGCCCAGGCCGGATCGGCTTATCAATCAATGGAATCGTTCCCGATCTCGGGACGGACGCGGAGTAAACGGACCCACGCGGAGAAGCAACCGGACAGCCAGATCCCTGTCATCTCGCCCGACTCCACCTATCGGACTGCGTCAATTTGTTATCGCAACCTTCTTCGGCAAATGGCTCGAATCGCGTCTGTCAAGCCGTGCTACCACGATAAGCAGACGCCCGCCGGCCCGGTCTATTAACTCAGTCTCGTCAACTCCAACGTCGACCCGGCCCGGTCAGTTGGTGATATTCATTAAGTCCCCCTCAACTCCAGCTTGGCAACAAACCATTCGTGAACCCCGCAACAGACTTCTCCGCAAACAGCCTTTTTTTCACAATGGGCGACCTCGCACCCCAAAAGAGCCCGTTGGCCAACGATATCCTCCTCGTCTTCCTCTCATCACCGCGCAACGAGGAATGGACCAGCAGAGTCGAGTCAAACTACCCCGGCCTCCAGGTCCGCTGGGCCAACAACCATCTACCGGACGGCCGCTTCCTGTTGCCGGATGAGCTTCCCGATGAGGTTTGGGATGGCGTCACCATGATCATCAGCTTCAACCCCCCGTCGCTCGAGAGACTCAAGAACGTCCGCTTCGTGCAGTTGACCTCTGCGGGCGCTGACAAGTGGCGCGATCACCCGGTGTACAAGAACCCAGACATTCCGTTTTGCACGACCAATGGATGCCACCCGTAAGTCCCGACCCGCGTCGTCGCTGGAACCAAAGACCATGTAAGCTAACACGATGTGAATAGTCCTCAAATCGCCGAATGGGTGATCGGCAGTTGGCTCGCCAGCCAGCACCACTTCCTGCGCTACGCAGAGAACCAAAAGCAAGGCTTCTGGGAGGGGCCGATGGCCGTCGACTTTGAGGATTCAGTCAGCCTGCGCATGGGCATCCTCGGCTACGGGGCCATTGGCCGCCAGTGTGGAAAGATTGCGCAGGCCATGGGCATGGAGGTGTACGCCTTCACGCGCAGCGAAAAGGCGACCCCCGAATCCCGTAAAGATGACAGCTACGTCGTCCCCGGCACTGGAGATCCCGATGGTCTTGTCCCCTCAAAGTGGTTCCACGGCGCTTCCAAGGAGGCTGTCAACAACTTCCTTGCGCAAGAGCTCGACCTTTTGGTCATTGGCATGCCCCTAACTTCAGAAACGACTGGGCTCATTGGAAAGGAGCAATTTGAGATTTTGTCTAAGAAGAAGACTTTTGTTTCGAACATCGCCAGAGGGCCTCTTATCCAGACAGATGCCTTAATCGAGGCGCTTGAGACTGGCAAGATCAGGGCTGCCGCTTTGGATGTGACGGATCCCGAGCCGCTGCCGAAGGACCACCCCCTGTGGAAGGCGCCGAATGTTTTCATCACCCCTCATGTGAGCTGGAGGACAAACGGATACTGGGAAAGAGTCCTGGGCGTCTTGGAGACCAACCTGGGAAGGATGCATGAGGGAAAGCCTTTGATCAACGTTGTAAACAAGCAGTTGCATTACTAGAGTTGCTATGAATAATTACATGGTGCGAGGGCAACCTCCCTATCTGCCGCCAAACAAGACTATTCTACTATTTTCCGGTAGACGGATCCGAGAGAAAGGTGACCAAATCCTGATAACCGCCCTGGGCCGCTAGTAGCAGGGCAGTGTTACCAAACTTATCAACGGCGTTTGGATCCGCCCCCTTTTCCAAAAGAAGCCGTGCAAACCCCTCGTTGCCCACTTCTACAGCTCTGAGAAACGCAGTCTTACCATCGTAGCTGGCAACATCTACCTCGGCGCCATGTTCCAGGAGAAGTCGCAAGCAATCCTCATCCTCACCTACCACAGCCTCGTGCAGAAGGAGTCCGTTGCCCCCATTGTTGACCTCAGCACCGTGGCTGAGAAGCAGACGGATGAAATTAAGCTTCTTGGACGACTTGGCTGTCCCCAAAGCGGTTACCTTCCCAAACTTCCCTCTAAGATTTGCATCAGCACCACATTCGAGAAGAAGTTTCGCCATTTCGAAGTGGCCTTCTGCAGCTGCGTGCCACAGTGCCTCTCCATCGCTGCTGTTGATTTCGGCACCGCCTTCGATAAGAAGTCTCGCGATTTCTAAATGATTACCGTTTGCTGCGGATGTTAGTGCTATTCCACCCCCGGCATTAATTTCGGCACCGCGCCCGACAAGAAGCTTCACTATCTCCAAATTGCCTTGCCACACTGCCTGTTCCAGTGACTTTCCACCGCTGGCATTGACTTCGGCGCTGTAATCGAAGAGAAGTTTCGCCATCTCTAAATGGCCCCCCTCCACTGCCGCGTCTAATGCCTTTCCGCTGCGTGCATTGACTTCTGCACCGTGGTCGAGAAGAAGCTTTGCTATCTTTACATGGCCTGTTGATGCTGCTGTCGTGAGTGCACCTCCGTCGGAGGTATTGACATCAACATCACGCTCGAGCAAAAGCCGCACAAGGTCTGTGTTTCCCACTTTTGCCGCGACAATCAAAGACGTCGTGCCAGTAATTTCGTTGATGTTTGTGGTGGGCTCGTGAAGTAGTACAGACACCACCGAGGAGAGCCCGTAATAAGTTGAGTACTGAAGAGGATTATACTCAACGAAGTCTCCGTATCGGTCTCTACATGAAATCCAAGTGGAGAATTTCAAAGCGTACGGGCAAAACCGAAGCATTTGGCTTATAGCTTCCGGCGGTATCCGTTTGCTCTCTCTGAAGTGCTCTGGCCAGAATTCCAGCGCATAAGCCGCCCAAGGTAAGACTAGCATAATGTCACGGGCAAAAATCTCCCAATCCATGTGAGTTCGACCTGGTACTTGCAGCGCATCTGAGTCGTCAAATTGCAGCGCATCTGAGTCGTCAAACTTATTCAAGATGGCCAAGCAAATCCGTGTTGCTTGGGTGTTCATGTCTTGTTCTCGCATGTGGTATTGAGCGAAGCGTTCCCGCTTCTTAATGCGATTCGATTTGAGGTACTCCTGGACAGAAAAGTGAGCGATGCGTACGCAACCAGTCTTGTGCTGGTTCGCATCACGGCCATCATAGAGTTCAATGAAGCCAGGGCAAACTTCTAGAACAGCATCCGCATCATGCAGCATCCGTTTGTCTTTGAAAACTGCCACCTGGCAGTGATAATCTGAAAAGTGATCATCTGAACCGACATGGTCTGAGTCGACATCTTCTGAGTCGGTGTCTTCAGATCTTGACCCAACTGAACCGAGATCCACTGCCATCCCGTAGATGAGCTCTTCTACGGTCAAAGGTCTTTTGGCACAGCATAACAACATCAACATCTGCCGCGCGTAATCTTGGAAGCCTGGTGTTATTGCAAGAAGCATCTTCTCATAGGTCTCGTCCAATGTTCGTGGAAGCGAAGTGAGCAGCTTATCAAGATGTTCTTCAGTTCTAGGGCAGACGGCAATTTCTCGGAGCTGACATTCAACCCACCTGAAACTGGATGGTGTTAGCAATGGAAATCCTCAGAACTTTCATTACCTACACTCCATCTGCTTGGGTTGTTAAAGTGGTCTCAATCCGTCCATGGAACCCTTTCCACTTGCGTAGTTGTGGTTTATTCCGAAGACTCTGCGTGATATACAGCGCAATGTCTTTATCGGAGGCCTCATTTCTGACCGCAACAGATTCGTCTCGCGAGGGATTAAGAGTGTCCCGGATGTCGACTTCGTCCCGGCTGGTGGCCAGGAGATGGATCATGGGCTCCACCCACCCACGCATCGTGGTCAAAACATCCAGTACATCCTGGCGATGCTCGTTCCGTGGACTTTCGTCAAGGGCATCTATAACAATGTATGTATGCTTGAATGACCGGGACAAACGGTGCAGACAGTCAAGTAGTGCTTGATTTCTTGGGACCGAGTTGTGGCAGCTGTCGTACAGGCACGAGAGGTGCGAGGAAGGCGAAATGTTGCTTTGTTGTCCAGATAATTGTAGAATCAGAGCACGTAAAAGAGCGGATGCATTTTGTTTCCCAGTATCGTCAAAAGCGAAGAAGAAGAAGGCCACACCGATATCTTGGCCGGAAATCTGTCGTTGGAGAATGTGTTGGATGACTGTGGAGCACAATATCGATTTGCCACAGCCAGCGAAGCCGTAAAGCCACAGAAGCGAGTTATCTTGTTCGAGCCAAGTATTGAAAAGCTTGCCATTGGTGAACCAAGCGCCCGTCCCAGGCTGTGACTTTTCATGAGCCATGTAGAAGTCCGTAGTGGCATCTGGTGCGTTGAGCCATTTGATGATGTCCTGGGCCACGTTATTTGCCCGGTGCAATTTAAGCAGATCTCTTGTGTCCTCGACATGGTTGCGAATGCTGCTGGTATCCCCGCTCTGCAGGAGCTGCATCGAGAAAAAAACCTGCTGAAAGATGCTGTCGACGTTTCCCTCAAGCTTCTGTAGCGTGCTCCGTTGAAAAGGGTATGTAGCTCGTCGCACTTTTGCTTTCAGAGCAGCTCTAAAACCATTGTTGTGGGACTGATTAAACTTGTCGGCCACTTTCTTCAGCTCCTCGATGCATTCTTTGCATTGAAGTATGCGGCCTTCGATACAAGCCAAGATGATGACGTCGTCGGAACGAAACCTTCGGGCATCAAGCTGCTTCCTCAGATTGCCGAGCAGATCGTGAAGGCGCAGCAGGCTATCGTGGACGCGAGCGATATCGGCACTCTGGTCCTTCAGAGTGCTGCAGTACTCATGAAGACCTTTGACGACTTCAAGTCCAAGCGAAACGATACCCACAACTCCCGAGGCAATGGAAAACGGATCCGACATGATTGGCGAACGCTGTTGCGGCTCAAACGAGAGCTGCAAATAGTCCCAACCTGATCCTTGCGTGACTAGAAAAGAGGGGATGTTCGTGACAATAAATGAAAAGTAAGCACAGCCTGATTTTCATTCAGCCCCATTCGTCCTACTATGCAGTTGACACATCAGGGAGATTAGGGAGGCAACGCTACAATGCAGCTAAGCAGTATAACTCGCGGGCTATCGGGAGCATCCAATCACGAACGTCGAGGTTCACTGGCGAATGATTGGCAGAACGGAAAATATCCATGGGCCTGGTGCATGCACACATATAGCCAAGAGACCTATCAGGCGAAGGAGTTGAGGGATTTTTGCGTGGCATACTTTGTGCGGGCGGCCAAAAGTTGAAGCGGCACGAAACGGACGATGCAGACCGTGGATCAGAATTTCTGTTGGGCGGAACAACTCAAAGCAAGATTTTATGTTTGCATTCTTGATTTCAGCTCTGATTGAAATTCTGCGATGTGAAGATAAGTACTTCCCAGGGGTCAAGTCGTACCAGCCTTCAAATGTGTTAACGCTGATTGAGATAGAATATACTGTAGGCTCTCGTCTCTTCTGTAATTGATTCTCTGGCTATGAGTGAAATTTAGCTAGAACACTGGTAATAGAGAATGCCATGTGCCTTCCTCTTGTCTAGTGTCGTTCTGCAAACTTCTAAAGATTTGTGTGTCTAATTGGATAAGAACGCCAGACGTTGTATCGGGGTACGGATTGTAAAAGAATTGAGGTCCTACGGCATTTCCATATTATCTAACGCTTATTTTCAGTGTGCACCAAATTACCCGCCAAGCTCCTTATCTCTGTTCCTCAAGTTCGACAGCCTCCGCCTTGTCATCAATATCCTTGTGCCCCAGGTTTCCCTCCACCGCCGCGTCACCAAAGACAGCTGCGATCTGCTCCAGACTAAGTTGATTCGTCTCAGGCAGAAAGAAGTAGTAGACTAGGCCAGCTGAGACATTCGTGGCGATGAAGATGAAGTAAAACTTCCACTCTAGCGCCTCAAAGGCTGTGGGTGAGACCTGGCTCAGCCAGATGGCAGTAATAGCCTGAGTGAAGATGGCAAATCCAACCCCAGTGCCTCGCAGATGCAGCGGGAAGATTTCCGAGACCAGCACCCAGTTCGTGCTGTTGAAAAAGACGGCATACAAGAAGGAGAAGATGAAGATGAAGGCTACACCGGCTGAACTCCCTGCCAAGTTTCGGTCGTCGGGGTAGGACTTTGATAGGGCCAACAGAATTGCGAGAGTGGCCGCGAGTGAAGCTGTTCCCGTACCTATTGGGCTTGTCAGTTACATCTTTGAGTCACCTTTGCCGCATGACTTACACATGGTCTTTCGACGGGACCAGGTATCAGACACCCAGATCAGATTGAATATCTGCCCCAGGATACCCATGGTACCATAACATCCAGCGATGAGAAGAACCGTCTGACCTTTGAAGCCAAGGGCGGTGTACATCAAGCTCTGGTAGTTCTGGATGACTTGAGATCCCGATAATTTCGTCATGTTCACAATGAGACATGCCAACAGCATCCGCCTTGCGTACTGTCGAGTAAAAAGAATCTTCAACGACGATTGGCGACGCAAGTCCGCTTCGAGTGCGAGCTGGTCTCGAATCTCGACGTACTGGTGCTGGACAAAGTCTTCGCCGCGGGCACCGTGGAGTCTCCGAAGAACCTTTACCGCATCTTCATGCCGCTCTTGTTTGACCACTTTGATGCCTCATTAGCAAGGGCTATGACCAGCGGATGGGTGCCACTCACACCATCGGGGACTGAACGGCATTGCAAAGACCAGCAACCCAAGCCCAACAGCCGGCGGTGCTTGCATTGCTAGTGGGATTCTCCACTGCCCATTCCCACTCGCGAATGACCCCGCGTACCCAATCCAGTTGGCGACGAAAAAACCGCCGGCGTTCGTGAGGCCCTTCAGCCCGACCAAGAAGCCACGGTTCTCAGGCGGAGATATCTCGGCGAGGTAGATTGGCGTGACGGAGTACAGGACGCCCGTCGACCACCCGCTGAAGATGCGTCCCGCGATCATCATGCCTGGGTTTACGGCAGCCGCCTGCAAAGCCGCGCCGAGAATACTAACCACGGCGCCAATGAGGACGGTGTAGCGTCGGCTCCATTTGTCCATCAGCCAGCCGGACTGCAAGCCGCCGATGCATCCGCCGGCATAGTATGAAGCTACGATGCCGCCGACGAGCGCGGGAGGGCCTTGAGAGCCTCCGTACATGTACGCTTTGAAGGTGGACTGGCCGATTGTTGTCGCTATGATGCCGGTGTCAAGGCCGTAGAGTAAACTGTTACGTGAGCTAGACGGGATTTCAGAATGGCCCAGGAATCACTGACCCTCCCATACTAATACCAATGGAGGCAAGAAGAGCCTGTTTTGTATTGCCATGGTGGCCGCGGAGTGCCTTGGGACCTCCCATGTGTGTAGACGTGAGTTTCCAACTTTACACGGCCCGTGTTACTTCGGAAGAAGTTCGTGAATGACGATGTTGAGAACGTTCGTATTCATTTGAGTCTGCCATGGCAGTCTAATACTGCTCTCCGCTGGTGCAACTTCCCCAGATCTTCGCTTGTAACTCCGCGTTGCCCCCGCACCCCGCGAATCCTTCCCCGGAATCTGCCTGCCGATGTGACTCCAACGCAAGGATGGAACAGGATTACCAGTCTATCCGTCTTTGCCTTTTCCGTCGCCTATCTGGGAAAAGAATCAGCAGACTTGTTTCCGTACTTGAAATAAACTGACCTCATAAAGCAACACAGCCTCATGGCCTGCATTGCGAGAGGTGTTCCACTTCACCTCACTCTTTACGCCATCCTCTTTCCAAACATTATCCCGTTGAAACGTGGGAAGGACATGGTTCTTAATGAACAATGGTCTATCAGCTATACAGTTCTATAGAAAATGACAGTCTATCTAGGATTTATCGATCACGTTGCGATCTACACAAGCCAATGAAAACACCCTTTTATCCGCGTCTAATGCCTAACCCCACCTCAAGGCCATTTCAACAACTGTACCTCTCTGGCTAAACGTAACATCCAAACGCAACAAACAAAGCGAAAAGGTCTTGGGGAACGGCTCCATCCTGCTTTAGTCCGCACGAGCTCTCGTGCAAGGCTGCCCATCCCTGAATAGGAGATTCATGATGTGTGCGTGGTTGTTGATCATGAGTTCGCTACCACCCTGGGTTAGGCGAGAAGCACTCTCCATGGCGATGTCGCGCGCACTTTTCTGCGACCGGTTTTGGCTCATAGGATCGGCTTGATACTGAAGCAGAAGCGCGACTGCTCCGGCATTCCCGGACAAAACAGCGTAGTCGAGAGGACTGCAGCCCTGGGCGTCGCGTTTTTTGACCAGAGATCTAGCTCCCTGCTTCAGAAGGAAATTCAGAGCGTTGATCTGCTGCTGAAAAGTCGATGTTCTGCGGATGCATAGAAGCTTCGTCAAGACGTTGTCTCCGGTTGATTTGCCGATTGATTTGAGTTTATGGCCCTCCTCTTGCATCGCACTAACGAGACCGAGGAGGCACTTGTTGCGCTTATCGCTCGGGGCTTTCAGACACTCCAGAATAGGCGACTCGAAGAGCGAAGAGTGTTGCTTGAACTTTGAGGCGCTGTTCTTGAGTATATCAAGAACCTCTTTGACCTTCTCATTCTTGCAACCCTTCTTCAATTGTTTCTCCAGCTTCCCTCGAGAACCTTGTGACCAGATTTTGAACCCAAGCGCGAGATCGGCTTCGGGCTTCTCGTCCGATGACAAGCTTTCCCAAGAAAGGTCTGCCGGTTGGGGGATAGGGCCACGTTGGGTTGGTCTTGGAGGCACGATTGGCGGAGGGAGTGGATTGCAATGCCCTGGGATGTATGGATTTGCCGGCAGCTCATAGACCCGGGGCGTCGGAAGTGGCGGCGGCGTTAGATCGAAGTTAATGGGAGGTTCTGGACTCGGTTCCTGAGGTTGAGAGCGCCAATGAGCTGGCTGTCGCTCCGCAGCAGAAAGCTCTACAGGACCAAGCAGCACAGCTGGAACTTCAGAGGCTTCGAGCTCGGGGTAGAACAGCCGGCTACCGATCTCCCGGCCAGCCGTGTGCGGATGCGCAGACGACGGCCGGTACTGTACGATGTATCTGCCCCCTCTGTGAGCTCTGCTGACTGGAACTATGTTGTTAAATGGCACAGATCCGTCGTCACTCGTTGTTGGTGTTAGACCAACGTCCGAGTTTCCTTTGTGCGACCAGCCCGTTGAGATAGTCGACGGCAAGTGGGAACTGGTGCTTCTGGAGCTCCCAAATAATGCTAGAGAGTCCAAATCTTCGTCTGAGCTGTGGCCATGTCGGTAGTCACTAGATTGAGAGTCTGGGTAGGTTCCTGGAAGATCTCGCCTACCGTTGTAATGAACTCTTCTCGGACGGTGGGGAGAATGGCCTTCGTCAGGTCTAAGTCGATGATAACTGAGGTTGTCGGCAAAGTCTTGATCGTCCCGGTTAATCGAATCTGGTCGACGGTCATTCTGAACAGGATAATTGAGTGGGTTGTGCGGATGATGTTGGCCTTCGGCTTGGTTTCTGTCAGGACGGGCCGGGCCTCCACCCCCGCGGCCGAAGAGCCATTCAGATAACCAGTTGGAGGTCATCAATCAATTTCGTAAGAAAAATAATGACAAGTGATTTGTTTAGAAGACTATATGATTGCCAATGAGATGTGGTTTTGGCGTATTTCGAGTGATTGGTAGGTTCCTCGACCACTTAGAGGAAAACATGTCCATTATATGTGCTCTCCACATCTACAACTGTTGGACGGCGGAGCAGCGGAATCACACTTACTGGGAGGCCTTCCACAATTTCTCGGTGAGAATGCTGTGAAACCCCAATTAGCTACAGAGTTGCCTTCACCTGGCTTTGGGGGCCGCCAGTTGAGAGAAAGATGGTGTAGGGGAATGGCACACCTTGGATCCTGCAGCCTTATCCGCTGGTTGAGTTTTGCTCACTTAAAAGGTCACCCGACTGGCTGCCACCCTCCATGACCAATAGAATTCATGGTGCCAAGCTATCCTAGAACAAGGCTTAGCACGATTAAATCTACTTTTTGGACCTCAGCTATTAAGGCTTCCGGTTGCCTCTCTCGAGCTTGCAGACTTTTCCGCAATTTTGCACTTTCTGTGTAGCTTGAAGATTTTTTCTGCAAGTTTTTTTCGGCAGAACTTGATCAAATGATGCAGAGGCATGGTTTTCGCGCGGTGTTTTCACTGACTGCTTCGCGTCATCGGACAGCGCCCCAGCACAACCGACGTGGCAGAAGCCACCGCTAGATGCCCCAACTTCCTAAGCCACATCGTCGGGTTGGAGAGACCACGAGCACCGTATTCTTCACCGCCGTCTCAAACCTCAAGTACGAAATAGAAAAAGAAGTAGCAGGAGAAGCGCGATGCGAAGATCATGGTATGACGAGTTTCTTGTCAGCTCGTTGCCTGGAGGAGACGACCGTCTCAGCGAGCACTTATCGATGCGCGGCTTGGCTTACTCGGCAGAGCATAAGCCACCCAGTAAGTATACGTAGAAAGTTCTCTTAGTTTCCACGCAGTCCCAAATTGCGAGTCTTCTAGAGCAGCACCGGCTGGATACGAGTACGTACAAATCTGTTCCGGCCGGAGATCGGGTCCTGTCCGGTTCCAAAGTGGATATCCCGGGAAAGTGGGCCTCGGCCTGATCTGAACACCGGGCATTGAACAAGCTATGGGACATGGACCCTGATGGCATTTCAATCGCGACCTCTTTGATCTAAGACATAGAATTCAGCCATTTCGGAGAAGTCTGCTGACCGCAAACAGAAATTTCATTGCAGGACATTAATAGGCGCTAGGCCCTCTCCGGTCCTCCAACCCTTTTTCCCTTCAAAGAATTCCGCTAATTTCAGGCGCCTCCCATGTCAGCTACTTGAGACATCATCGGTCTGGCCAGAACTTGAAAGTAATCGGCATCAAAACAGTTTCGGCCCGGTCATCTAACCACCTCTTCATTGCATTTCAGTCCACCGCGAACTTCGCACTCGGCCTGTCACTGTGCTTTCGCTGATTAAATAAAGCGTTAACTCTTTCTTGATCGACGCGGTCTTTGAGCTAAAGCTTCTAGGCCACGACTCCCCAGTCATAGCGATGTGTTCCACGCGCATCATCACATGGCTCTTCCTGTTCCTCGGGGTCGTAGCTACCCAGGCATCGTCGATCGAAACCGTCCCGACATGTGCTGTATGAAAGCCTACGCGACTCCACCCTTCGACCTTCACCTGTAACTGACTGAAAGATAGCAACCATGCATCGCCGAAGGTTTGAACAGGACAGCCTGTCCTACGTCGAATCAGACGTGTCTGTGCCAAGATTCGAACTACATCGATTTTGTGGAAGATTGCGTTCTCGATCACTGCTTGCCAATCGACGCCCTAGGTAAGGAAATCTCCTCCTCAGCTAGAAGTCATTAATAAGCCCCGATAGCCACGCAGAACTATACATGGTCCACGTGTGGGTTTCCACTGGAAAATGATTTCACCTCGACAGCAGTTCCTCGGCTGGTCATGTTTTTCGTGCTGCCTACTCTGTCAATAATCTTACGGTTGGTCGTCAAGTTTTCACGTGTATCCTCATGGGGTGCCGACGATTTGATGATCCTGATAACCTTTGTGAGTAAGCCCGATCAGAAGTCTTACCTTATCTGACTCTTGGCCGCAGGGTTTTCTAATCGCGTTCGTGCCGTTGAACGCAAATGGTAAGTAGACATAACCTCGGAACACTGCTTTGGTGTTCTCAATAGCTAACATTTGCTTCTAGCGGGAAGAAGTGGTGCCGGCCAAGACATGTGGACTTTGACTGTTGATCAAATCACGGAGTTTTTATGTCATACAAGCGCTATATTACAGCACCATAGCTTTCCTAAAGGCGTCCATTCTCTTCATGTACCTACGAATCTTCCCTGGCGAGCGGTTTCGGACAGTCCTTTGGGGCACACAAGCGTTCAACCTGGCAATCTGTGTCACGTTTGTTCTTCTCGGAATATTCCAGTGTCGACCCATCCACCTGGCTTGGACGGCTTGGAGAGGTGACTCCGAAAGCCAGGGCACATGTATGGATGTCGTCATCATTGCGATGGTCTACTCGGCGATCCAGGTTGGACTGGACATTTGGATGCTCATACTACCTCTCACGCAGACTCTGGGTTTGAACATGAAGTGGAGCAAGAAGTTTGGGCTTATGTTTATGTTCAGCTTGGGGCTTTTGTAAGTGGCTCGAGTGAAGTCTCCAAAGTCAACTGGTCTTGGCTAACTGCTATCCTCCCACCGCAGTCTCACAGCAGCTAGCACCATCAGGCTGAAACTTCTTGTCGACTACCATCAGGGAACACACAATTTCACAGGTAATTCATTCAAACGAGCAGTTCGTCACTCTCCTTGCTAAATTGAATAACAGTGGATTCCCTGCAAATTTGTATATGGTCGGACATTGAGCTTTGCGTGGGTGTTTTCACGGCATGCAGACCGACTACCCGACAGTTCCTCCGCGTCTTTATTTTTGGAAGGCCTGATGGATCAGCTAGCTTATATTCCGAACCCATCCATGGCAGGAGTCTCGAGGGCAGTCCAAACCGATCTACAAGGCAGGCTGCAGAGGCGGTGGACGAGCCTAGTCCGCATACACCCTGACTTGTACTTAAATATGAAATGATTCCTGGCGGTATCATCTAAGTCTACCTTGTTTTCAAAAACGATTTTGCTTCTGTCCTCCTGAAATGTGTCTGATGGAGGGCGGACCATTGCCTCTCATCCTGGAGAATCGCCCACCTCCTAAGCACTCGCCTCAACTTCCAGCAAAAGCCGAGGAAACGTTTTGAGAGGGGGCTAATTTGGCGTTTGTTATCCACAGTCTTGAGACTATCAGTTACTTGGTCCGTGGGTGTCAGCGACTTGCAGCCGGTGGGATGAAATATGCCTTCAACAATGGGTCATGGTCTTGATGATAGGTGTGGCATCGGGACTGCCCTGTTTCAAGGGAACAGAGTATCCAATAAGGGTCGATGTTGTCTTAGGTTCTTTCGGACATCCACCCATGGAGTGCAGAAGCTGATATCGGCCCATCAAAACCGTCAGCTTCGTTGACTTGCCCAGGGCCCGACGCGACTTAAGTCCGGACCCCGTCGAATAAAGATGTATGACACCAGGAATATTGCAAATGACCGTCAGACACAAAACTATAAAAACCTCCCGTCGGGATTGTATCACAAAAGTCTCAGTCTCATCACCATAATCACACATCCAAATTCCTCTGAACTTTCGAAGAAATGAAGGTCTTCCTAACGGGCGCCAGCGGCTTTTTGGGAGCTCACTGTCTGTCACTACTTTTGGATGGCGGGTTAGTTTTAGTCACTTCTCTTGGTATGAAAGCCAAAGATGGAATACTGACACATCTTTTGCGTAGTCACGATGTCGTTGTCGCGGTCAGATCGGACTCGAAGGGCCGCGATATCCTCGCTCTTCATCCCGACTCAGGACTTCAGCTTTCGTACATTGTCATTCCAGACATGACAGTGAATGGAGCTTTCGACAAGGCTATTCAAGCAGAGCCAACCCTGGAGGCTGTCATCCACACCGCAAGCCCTTTCCACTTCCAGTCTAAGGATGCCGAAACCGAGATGCTCAATCCGGCCATAAGAGACACCAAATCTCTTCTTAGCGCCGTCGCTGCCTATGCACCAAACGTGAAGAGGGTTGTGATTACCTCGTCCGTCGCCGCAGCGGTCAACATCAAGGCGCCCCCTCCGGTCTTGACCCCTGAGATGTGGAACCCGATCACTCGAGAAGAAGCCTCTTCAAACCCATTCTTCGCATATCTTGCCAGCAAGACATTCGCAGAGAAGGCAGCCTGGGATTTTGTCAATGATAAGAAGCCACACTTCGCCCTGTCGACGATTTTGCCGCCTCTCATCCTCGGACCGGTTGTGCACCATCTTGATAACCTCGGTTCGATCAACACTTCCAACTCGGCGTTCGTCGATATCATTGATGGCAAATGGAAGGATTCCATTCCTCCCACGGGGTCTCCTCAGTGGGTCGATGTGCGGGATGCTGCGTTCGCTCATGTCCAGGCACTGATTGTGCCCGAAGCTGCTGGCAAGCGGTTCCTCCTCTACGCGGGTGACTTCAGCAACGCTGAGATTGCTCGCATTGCCCGAGATGATTTCCCAGAGCTGGCTGATAAGGTCCCTGCCAACATCGAGAGCGACGTGACCGCCGCCGACGCTAGTATTGATGCCGGGTTGTCGAAGGACATTTTGGGTGTGAAGTACCGCTCTCTAAACAACAGTGTGGTCGACTCGATCAGGTCTCTGTTGGGCCGCTGAAGGCCGTTGATGTACATAGAACCTATCCATTTGGCGTTTTTGGCTTAGATCATGACTCTTGAGTCTTCAGTTAATAAGCTCTCTCCAGCATATGGTCATTCACGCCGGTGGCCGTAGTTTGTTGACTGTCTTGCAACCGCTCACTCATCTTTCATCTTCGTCGTCCGGGAAATATGGACCATTCTGAATAGTTTTATCGACCCTGTAAGCCCGTAATGTTCCTCTAGCGCGACCGCGATCCTTTGACAGGGCTGTGGTGGAGATTTTCTGAGCACGTCATGATACCGGATATCGCGACACGTTGAAAGCGCCGCTATCGGGATAGGGGACTGGAGACTCTGTAAAAACAAATCGGAAGTCTTATTTGTTCTCAATGACCAGCGCCTGGCATCGTAGGTTCGTACAATCGATTCATCAAGTCTACCAAAAAAGCTCAAAGGGTAGACCAGCTATCCGAACATCATGAGTAGTCCTAAACAACTCCCTCATGAGGAGACCTCACAGACGACACCTGACGCTGAAGTCGCCACCATCGAGGAAAAAAGCCACACGAAGCGGACATGGTATAGAACGGTATTCTTCCAGGCCACAGTCATTGGACTCTGTGCCTTCTTTGCGCCTGGGCTGTATAATGCCATGCAGTCTACTGGAGCTGGCGGGCAACAGACACCATACCTTGTTATGTCCGTATTTCAGCGAATATACTGTATGGAGTTATGATCTGACTTAATGACAGGTCGGCCAACGCTGTTCTGGGGGTTATGATGGTTGTCACTTGCTCAATGGGAAGCGTAATAGCTAACAAGATTGGATTGAAAAATGCTTTGATTTTCGGCACAACAGGATAGTGAGTAAAATGTCAACTACTTCATGTTTTGGAAGGCTGCTGACGAAAGTCAGTGCCATCTACTCAGCGTCGTTGTACACGAACAACAGATACGGCACGGAATGGTTTGTGTATCTAGGCTCTGCAGCCTGTGGCATCACAGCAGGTATCTTCTTCCCTGCCGACCTTCTTTTCACAGTTTGCCGGCTGTGGACGCACACCTTTTAATGTATTGTGAATCTGACGAAGAAATAAGGTATCTTCTGGGCAGCTGAAGGCGCAATCATGATAAGCTGTAAGTTGCGATCACAAAGTGCTACAACCTGTGTCTTGACTGACTCATCTTGCGTCAGACCCTGAAGATCAGAAGCGTGGAAGATATCTTGCGTATTGGCTTGCCTACCGTAATGTGAGTTTACCAAGGATTTCAACTCAATGGCGAACCTCGTTGCTGACGAATGCTAGGGCGGTTCAATCGTCGGTGGTGCCATCAACCTCGCTTTCAGTATGCACTGCGCCAACACATTGAAACTTGATACTGACTGGATTCAGATTCCACTGGGAAAACAACGGGAAAGTTAGATTGGAGAACATATGTTGTTTTCGTGGCCTTGCGTGAGTCGGCCGGTTCATTGATGCATACGTCTTGGAGGATCTTCTGACTTGAACTCTTCTAACAGAATGCCTTGGCCCCTTCGTTGCCATGCTGCTTTCACCCCCTGAGAAGGTCCAGCGTCAAGATGGCAGAAAAGTCTCCAAGGCCGAGCAAATTCCGACGACTGCTGAGCTGAAGGCCGTTGCTAAGATTTTGGTCCGGAAAGACTTTCTTCTTGTGTAGGCTACCAATCCCTCACTCGATATCTCACCTACAACGGAAGCACTGACTAAATGTTAGCTTCCCTTTCTTCTTTTACGCCACATTTCTACTATCATACGCAGGATCGTATCTCTCGCTCTACTTCTCAGTCAGATCAAGAGCTCTTGCTTCCTTGATCTCAGCATTGGCACAGATCACGGCCAACTTCTTCTTCGGGCACTTTCTTGACTGGAACAGATTCACTATCAACCAGAGAGCCAGATTTGCTTACTTCGGTATGATGGCCCTGTTTGGTGGCACCTGGATTTGGGCGACTGTGATTCAGCGTGAGTATGGTCAACGTGCCCCCGCGTTGGACTGGGCTGATCATGGCTTCGGCCGAGGCTGGGGTCTTTACATTCTGCTTCAAGTGAACTTGTGAGTATTTCATTTAGTACAGCCTGTCAGCGACACTCAAACTAAGTAAATCATCAGTGCTCTCGCATACAACTACGGCTATTGGCTAGCTGGATACATGGCCCGAGGTCCTGCTGAGGTTATCCGTTTCACTTCAACTGTTCGCGCTGTTGAGGCAGCAGGGGGTGCCGTGGCATCTGGCATCAGCTCCACGCACGCGCCTTTGCTCGCCGCTGTTGGAGTCAATTTTGGGCTGTGGGGGTTGGCACTTATCCCTACCTACATAGTCGTCAGGTCTCTCAACATCAAATATGAGACATCGCGTGATGAAGATGAGGGTAGCAAAAGTATAGGGGAACCCTAAGGCTATGGAAGTAACAGGCCTGCAGTAAATACGGAGGTATGGAAACATGAGTAGCCGCTGGTGGGACAATGATGGAGTATTGAACCCATCCCATCCAAGCTTCTCAGGACGTGCGTGTGTATCTCACGATCAATCGCTGCAAGAGATATCTCATAATCTATGTAAGCGCGATGCGCGTTAGACTGATCAATCAGAAAGAATGTGTGGCCTTGGATAACCCATCTATACATGTAGTTGACCCAAACAGGATGACCTACCCGTATTGGTCATGCGAGATTAGAAAATGCCGGGAAAGTCCAGATAATTAAGGGACCCGTATCAGACCGCAACCGATGCCGACCTCGCAGTGTCGTGATCTTGCAAAGCGATGATACGTGCCGATGCAATCATTTGTGGGGGCTATCGGAGCACACAATTGAGGGTACATGTTCCGTGATGCGAGCCACCGGATGATGCCATATGCCTCAAAGCCTCCTATGGCGAAGTTCCATGAAATGTCAAGCTTTGTTCCTTCTACTTGACTCCCACCTGGCGTTCAACTCAACAACACATCAACGACAGAGACTTATCGACGAACGTCACCTTGGTGTTCAGCATTCACACACGAAATGGGTCAAGAATCGTGGCGTAAAGGTTTCGAAGAAGATGGATTCGCTGTCATTCCCGACATCATAAGTCAAGAAAAGGCAGTCGAATACCAAAATCGCGCTTTCGGCTGGCTCAGATCATTCGACAACCCCTCACTCGACTTACAATCCCCTTCTACATGGACGCCAGAAAATCTGCCCTTCGTTTCCGGGATCAACACTTTCAATCACTATGGAGTTGTTCACGAAAAGTTTATGTGGGACATCCGCCTCGAGCCCGGAGTAGTCGACATCTTCTCTAAGATATGGAAAACCAACGAGCTTATTGTCTCCTTCGACGCCCTGAACATCACACTCCCGAGAAGGGCCGGCCATGTCCCTCGTGAGAAGTGGCCCCACGTTGACCAAAGCCCGTACCGAAATGGCCTACAGTGTGTGCAGGGCATCGTGAACTTATCGGAGTCTGGACCAGAAGATGGAGGCTTGACCGTGTACCCCGGTTCACATAAGGTGACGGAACAGTTCTTCCGAGAGAATACAGAGCGATCTGAGTGGACGCGAAAAGACTTTTTCAGATATTCACCTGATCAGATTGCTTGGTTTGAGAAGCGAGGTTATCGTGAGCACAAAGTCATTGCAAAGCCAGGGGACCTTATCATCTGGGATTCACGACTGATCCACTTTGGCGCGGAACCTACGGCATCAAGTGACAGAATTCGGACCATAGTCTATGTTTCATACGCGCCGGCCTCATTTGCGACAGAAGAAGTACTGGCTGCAAAAGCAGAGGCCTTCAACCGTTGGCTCGCTACCACGCATTGGCCCCACGACAATATCGTTCTGAGAACAAACCAGCCCACTCTCCCTGATGGAACCGTTGATAAGAGGAGGTCCGAACCTCTTGAGAAGCCAGAGTTAAGCGATGATCTGCTGAGACTTGCTGGGATCAAGGCATACTAGCGGAGGCCTAACAAGGAGGCTGATGCAGATGGAATGAGGCAACAAGCATGTACAACTGGATTCTACGTACTTACGTATGTATGCCTTGATCATCAGCAAGCAGGAAGTAGCGTCTCCATGCTTATGAACTCACCAATTAACATCACGTGCCCAATTAAGCGTAAGAAAACCCAGACACGCAAGTCATGCGACGATGCTGTATAACAGTAATTCAAATACTTGACTCGCTCACAAGGACAGGCCAATAGTCTTGGTTGGGGGGTTTAAAGGCAGAAGCAAGAACATTGCTACAAGGAACGAATGATACTGGAGCTGTCACTTATCACGTCTGGGTCATGTGGTACTTTAAATAGTTGATATGGAAACAAACAGATCGCTTTTATTTTGGTATCAATCCCGTCCTCAGATGTGAGAACCAGCTTTTCTAATGTAAATTCCCTCCACAAACTTGACCCGTACTCGATTTGAGGGTCTAGAAGTGTGCCCAAGAATAGCATCCAACGTCGCCTATCTAGCTGTGCGGGACGAAGGCAACTCCGGCGCTGTAGCTCTTACCGCCAACAGGGGGAGTGTCCCTGCAGCTAGAGTCTGTGCCAGTGGCTCCAGCAGCCTGGCACATCTCGCGCCATTGGCAGTTGCTGTAGCCGTAGGGATGCCAGTACTTGCCGATCCTCGCACCCTCGGGTCCGATGTACTGGCACTCCTTGGCACCATCAGACCAGGCGTTGGCATCAATCATTTTCGCCAACTTTGTGTCGTATCGGTTGCAGACTGTCTGAGTTGCGGCGTCGTTGGGCTTGCCATCAGAGTTGTAGCAGTGGCAGAAGAGGTAGCCATCGCAAGCAAGCACGCTCTTGGAGAGAGCGACGAGCATAAGGGTGCCAGCAGCGGCAAGAGTAGGGAGCTGCATGATGAAGGTGGTAGTGAATGACTTTTGGGTTGTTGTAAGCGAGTGACTGGTCGTAAGCGACTGAATTGTTCGAAACGAGGGAAACGAGTGTCTGTGGGCTGCACTAAGTTCTCGACTATGGCTGTCAAAGGTTGAGATGGTTTTATAGTTCACCTCTGTTTGCTCGCATTACGCGACCGAAGTGTGGTTTGCGGGACGATTCAGTTGATCCAGGGGTGAAAGCTCAAATCAGATGTGATTGACAGCCCCTAATACAATCGAAACTCTATTTCTTGGGTTGTGCAAGGATGTCATGTTAAGATCTCATGATTCAAGCAGCAGAAAATCTCGCGGTGACGGCGACCCCGAAACCAACTGCCGCAGTGCTGGGCTACTTCGTAGAATAGTACCCCCTTCCCCACAAACCACATTGTGGGAACCGGGATGGGTAAGGGAAAATTGAATGCAATGCCTCCACATTCAACGAACACTAATAAGCCAGATAGGCTACTCCGAAGTGCCTTGGAGAAGAAAGTGAAATGCCGCACTGCTAGCTATAGCTCAAAATCACAAATTCAGGTGAAAAGAAGAGTTCGTGTCCCGGAAAAGTGTCGATTGGACCGACTGTAGCCTCATTGATAACTCTTCAAATCTCAGCATCAACGATAATACCGTAGACTTGGACAACACATGTAAGGAAGAACTAGTCCAGCAAAGCAGATGAACTATCGACTTCCGTAGCATCAGCATGATTCAATTCGCTCAAATGACAAGGTCACCACACTGAGCAATATCGACAAATGTCCAGTGTCTATCGGTGCTGGACAGCTTGCATTGTCGTGCATTGTTACTTAGTTCGGCCCCCAAGCTACCAACTAGCCTGGCTCCATCGCCCTCCCCGTTACCCCTGACTCCAACATATGCTACCTTATGCCGGCAGATCATAGTCAAATACTGCCCTGTCGTTAAGTCAGCAATACCTATTCAACTCCACTGCAACCAACGGCATATTCGTCAGAGCACAAGGAATGGACTTCTACACATGAACTCGTGTTTCTAGCATGGACCAACAAACATTCAAAGATCTGCTTGCAGTTACTGCCGTTTAAACAAGTTGCGGACAAAGCCGATGCCAAGTTGACGATACTGAACTTTCAGAGTAGGAGTTGCAAATTGTAAGGATGCAAAGTATTGATAAGGCACATTGCTTATGCATTGATGCCTAGACTAGTGACCGACTCTACATGGTAGACTGAGATCAATCGACGCTTGGTAACTAAGCCAATTCCTTGCCAATCTGATCGAACTCCCGGCGCCACTCCGTAACCTTCTCGACTCTCTTGAAGGGGTCAAAGTTCATTGCCTCGCTGTCGACGAACACGCTGTCGCCAAGAGTAAGGGTTCCACGGCCGACAAACTTGCCCAGCTCATAGCAAGCCCACTTCGAACTCTCGTCGGATCTGTTCTTGTCTTCCCATACCCCGACCTTGAAAGTCGCCCCCGGACGGAAGAAGAAATTCGATCCCCTGGCAGCACCACTGCGCGTCTCTGTGGTAAGGACCTTCGCCTTAGTGTGTGGCTCAGGGGTGTCGTCCATGTTGTGTCCCTTCGCCTCGCCATCGCTGTTTCCATTTGCATCCTTCTTTGGGCACCGCGAACAAGTAATGTTGGACAGATATTTCTTCTGTGCTTCATTCACGACATTCTTTGCAAAATTGTTGTTGCCATTGCCGTACCAGTTGCTGCGACCGTTCTGGTACCAATCTCTTGGGCTGTTCTTTTGGGTAGCTTTGGCCTCCGTAGAACCACTCTTCGAAGCATTTTGGCGATGATAGTCGTCCTGGGCAACGATCGCGCCATTCTTGCTGCCGATCTCATTGTTCGGCGGGAAAGGCTGCATGGGGGCCTCGCGAACATCTTCGATGAGCAAGACCAAGGGCTTGTTCCAGATTCCGGGGTCCATGTCATTCTCATTGTAGAACTTGAGGTCACACCGGCCTGCCGAAAGCTGCGTGTTCGGAGCGCGGACGATCACGTGGTCGATGTTTGCCTCCGTTGCTTTGGTAGTTATCAGCGAACTGAACGCATGCAATCTGATAGGAGAGACTCACGGGTTCCGTAGAGATAGAATGGCATGAAGGTGCTCGGGTACTCCTCAAGCCGCCACTTGGAGTTCAAGGGCCGACTCACAACCGTCTTCCCAAGCGTCACTGTGACATCCTGGATGACGATACCTCTGTTGTTTTTATCAGCAACTGTCCCAAACCAAGATGTGCCTTCATCAATGAAGCGCTAGGAAAGACGTACGAGTCTGCTGTCATAATCTGTCCTTCGAACTTTCCGCCCCGCTCCGCAATGTCTTTGAGCATGACCTTCCGCTTCGTCACGAGAATCAGGGGTTCCGAGGGGTTTGAATGCTTCATGTCGGCGTATTTTGCCTCAGATCGATCATCAAACTTGGCGGACATGATGAGTTGCTGTCGGTGGTTTGCGACGTGGAACATGGGCCTATGGATTAGGTAGATCTTCTCTGTTCCCTGGATAAGGAATTTGTGGAAGTCCGGGGCCAATGTGTTGCGCTTGCGAACGACCTGGGAAGAGATATTAGCCAAAGACAAGTACTGATGTCAACAAAGGTCGACCCACCTCGGTCTCAATTTCAACCACTTTCTTGAACTCCTCGGCAAGATCGTTGGTGAAGTTGCCGTCACTTGGGAACGGAGACATGACGACGTTCCGCAGGACCATGAGATCTTGCGTGCTCGGTGACAGGCCAAGTCGCTTCACGAAGTTTGCCTTGCACTTCCCGTAGAGTTCATCTGAGAACTCGGTAGAAGTGAGGTACAGAGGAATCTTGGTGGGATCATCAGTGGGGCTGTCGACTGAGAATGTCTCCACGACTCTCTGCATGAGGTAGTTGGCTTCTTCGATGTCGTCGTTGAGGCATCCATCCGCGTATCGAAAGTTCAACGAGAAAGCGTTGATGTTCAAATCAGATCCAAGCGCTCGCATAAGCTTAATAGCCTTTTGGTCGTCAGGTCGGTGCTGGTCATCGTTCATAATGCTTGCGTTGCTCTTCAGGACGATGTCATTGCGGATGCGCTTCTTCTCGGCCTCAACTCTGTCTTCCGTGGCATTCTCCTCAAGCTCAGACGGAAGCATGTTGAAGGGTACACAGATGAAAGGGCTGGAAGCGTCGGTCAGGGATGCCCACTCCGCGGAAAGCTGCATCACAAATATTGTAGTTAGTACATTGAACGACGTCAAACACGGAGGCAGGGCAGATCATACCCGAGTGCAGGTCCAAGTGACCTCTCCCAACAAGGCGCCGTATCCCTCCTGGGTAAGACCAATGGTCTTGTTGGAGAGCCAGGCTGACATAGCCGAAGCTCCAGGCTTACTGTCCGTGTCTTAGCTTCTTTCGAAGAAAGGTGTCGTTGTTTTGGAAAGCCACAAACCTTCCCTCAACACCATAGATGCCGATGCTAGTGACCGATCCACGCGATAGGTAGGGACTTGTCCATGTCACCAAGAAACGCATGCGATTGTCGCGATAGCAGAGACCACCTGCGGGGTAAGGAATGTAACCGGCCTTGTGAGGGTCAACAGTAATGGAGTCAGCAAAGCGCATGGCGTACAAATCTTCCTGAGTTTCAGCGCGTAGGCTGGCGTCAGGCACGAACCCATCAGTAGCGCCCATCTCAGTGGGAAGGTTGATGACATCGCCAGGGCGGTAGTCTTTCGGCAGCATGGAGCAGAAGTATCCACCCCACGCGGCATCAGCATGGACGAGGAATGAGAGGCCTCGTGACTGAAACTGCTTTCGCAGAGCGAGAATGCTGCTGAGGCTATCAACGGCACCCTCTGCATGAGACAGATTAGTATCTGGTTTATTAGAAAAGAGATGGTCTTCGGGAGCATACCTTCAGTCGATCCTATGATTCCCACAACTGCGTAGACCGGCTGCTTGTTTTCAAGACTCTCCCAAAGCTGGTTCTCGAGCTCGCTAATATCGAGGCGTGCTCCCAGATCTACCGGAATACCGACGACGTTCTTGGAACCCAGGCCGCAGATAGCTGTAAGAGTCCAGACACATTAGTATCCACAGCGTTCTTCTCCTTCATTCAAGACTTACCAGCTCCTTTGGGCCATGAGTAGTGTCGAGTGTTGGACAGCATGTATTGACCTGGCTTCTCGATACCAAACTCCCTTTCCAGATCGTCCTTGCCTGTGGACTGAATGGTTAAGTCGTTCATGAGATCAGAGAGGAACTTGTTGGAGATTCCATGTTCCTGGTAAAGTCTATCAGGGAGGTCAAGGACGTCAGACGGCTTGAGGTTCAGCAACTCCCAAGTTGAAAGATGGGTGAAAAGCTTTCGCTCCCCTTGGCAGGTCTCGACATGGAAGCTATCCTTGAGAAATTCCAGCTTCTGACCTTCGTCAAATGCCTTGCGAAGCGACAGCGGGTAGAACTTGAGATTTCGAGCTTGGACGCGGTTGGTCAATGAGCCAGGTGTTGGGCAGATACTATTCATGACTTACCGACCCTAGACCACGCATGTTAGCTTGTTAAATTCAATAATCAACGGGGTTCTTACCACATGGATTCGAGATTAGCTACCGTGCCATCGCATGTGACGTGACCCCAGCCTGTGGGGGACTCAGTGTCATCTTCGTTGATGTTGTAGCCAAAAAGATCGCAGAGCTGCTCTCCGACCTCAATTTCAGCGACTGTCGTGAGAGGGCTTGCTTCAAGCGCGACATTGTTCGGGTTGTAGAGCATCGTCATAAAGTAGCCGAGCAGTGAGGACATGCTCATATCAGTGCACCTGGTAAAATCTGTTGAGAATCATCCAAGTGGCGGGCGAATGGATGGTTACTCACATATGCGCCTGGTACCGAGGTGACCAGAAAGGAATGCTTGATCGGCCAAGAATCTCCGAGGCCTTGTCGACAGCATTTTTGAGCTTGTCCTTGGACCTCTTGAAAGCTGCAGATTCCTGCGTTTTCTCGTCGATGAATTCCTGTCCTGTATCAGATAAAGTACGAAAGGGGGTGAATTGGAGATCAGACTGACTGCGTCATTGTCAAAGCGATAGTCCAATCTGGCTTGCTTGAGGTTGTTCAAGATGATGTCGATGTTCTCCTTGAAGTATGGCAGGTTCTCTGCCCGAGGCCCAATGAAGTATGATGAGATGATCTGATGAGATTCATCCTCGGGGACTGTGGCTGCATCACGTGTGGGATTCTTGAATCCGTTGCTGGAACCCTTGAGGGTTTCTTTGAGGTAAGGATACGACCCGTTCGCAGCGGTGGTCTTGAAAGATGCCATGATGAAGGTTTGTCAGAAGGATGAGACTGGTTGATGGGGCTTTCACGGGAGAGCAGCTGAAGTGAGGGATGCAGCTCTAAGTATAAAGAATTCATCCAAATCCTGATACGTCCTTCTTTTCCGTATTTTACAAATGCTATAGCTCGCTGATGGTATTTCCGTCTGCCGTGGCATGCCGCCTCAAAGCCACCGCGTCCATTCTCAGTCCATTCTCGCCAGCTTCCACCACGTCATGTCGTAAGAACCTGCAGATCAACGGCCGGGCTGTATGGATACGCAGTACCACTCACAACAACAGCCTTGAGACAATGTGGTACCAATCTGGCAATGCTCACATTAGTTCAGGCTAGTGTTGCAGCTCATCTCTGATCTGAGAGCTCCTCAATTACGATTCTCACCTATAATTGACTTCAACCGTTTCCATACTTGCATCTTCGAACCTTGAACGGGCATGGACACATAGTTCAGAACGACCTACCTCAGGTGCTCTGCATACTGTCGCACCACTAGCGCGTACCTTGCCGATGTTAGTTGACAACCCCGCTTGGAACAGAATTAGATCGAAACGGTTTTCCGTGACTCTCGGAGGCCAAGACGTAGACAGTCGTGAAAACAGATGCCAGCAGTGGTTGAGGGCAATCGGTGTCGCTGTGGCAATATGTGTAGGGCAGCAAAGATCATGCCATTTGACAATAAAATGCATATGGCCGCATGTCGGGCGACCTACCGCACGGGTACAGCCGCAGAGCCTAAAGGGGTACAGGGTTAGGAAAAGAAGCATTGGCTAATAGGATTCAGCGATCTCCAGGGTGTCTCATGTAGTGTTCAGTTGGACCGATGATCAATGTGGAGACAGCACTCGAACCGACTTCGTTGGCACAGTGGCACACCGGTAACCGGTTTTGTGTAAGACAACGAAAACTATCATTAAGCAGTGCAAACGTGTGACTAATTTGGTTAGACGCGGACAGAGCTGAAAGACGATGCGTCACTGTGCCTTCCTCATACGTGGGGGATTCAGATGCACCCCACTGGTCTACGCGACTGGAGGCTTTTAATTATTGAGCTAAGGGAAATATGCATGAGGCATCTACTTCAGTACAAGTGCATGGTGAATGGAAGACCTATCAGGATGGGCTGGGATAAGTATTTAATTCGCGCAGGTACTCATTGCTCAGGGCGGATGCTAGAGATCTACACCGAGCACGATCTGAGACAGCTTCCCAGCCCGTTCAGAAGTCCACGCGTCCAAGCCTCCACAATATTGACCGGTTTACAGAAGAGCGTTCGGCCCGTGTCCAAGCCAGGTACCAAGAAGCAAATGGAGGTTAAGCTCTGAAATGCCAGCATCAGCTCATTGGCTTTCTGGCGAGGCGAAGTGGGACGCTGAGCAATGCCAGACTGCCTCGGTGAGAAGCGACAGCTTGGCGAAACATAGTGACATGGGCAACGAAGCAACAGCGACGCTCACTACACCTGAAAACAGCCAGTCTAAGAGATCTGAATAGTGGGGAAAATCATGCATGGTGTTCCCATGGCAAGATGTTTGTCCCAGCCGAGGATAGCCGGACTCTCATATTGATGCGTGAACGTCAGTGATCGATGACACCGTGAAGCTTATGTTGTTCTCGTTCAATTGCCCTTCAAGAAGGAATCAGTGCTCGTTTAGATGAGTTCTTCTGTAGATGCTCATCGCAAAGCCTTTAGACTACGCACGTCGAATTGGGCAATGTAACTCGAAGAATGCCCTCAAAGATTTCTGGAACCTCTCAATACTTCCGCCTAAGCGACCCTCCGTTTTTCAGTGGCCAGTGACACATGTAATGCATTGAGAACGTACGGTGGCGTGGAAATGCATTCTATTTCACCAAGATCTATTGAAAGCCCAGGCTCCAAGGTTACACTTTTGACCTCACCGCAATGCGGAACACGCTACGTGAATATATCAGTGAGAGCTCAAGATGACGTAAAAAATGAGGGGTTCAAGAGGCATTTTGTGAGGAAGCTGCTCGACGAACGTGAATCCCTTACTCTCATTGGTTTCCGAAGCAGAAGAGGGGGAACCGGTCACATATCGAACGGTTGATCGCATGTCTGCCAAGGCATCTCGGAACGATTCTCTGTTAGTTCCCGAGACATTCAACTCAACCTAGCTTTCACCAGAAACACCCAGGCCAAAGTACAGTACATGGGTGTTTGGAAAGAAATGTCACGAGTTGGGACATCAGGAGTTCTCTGTGGTGAAGCATCATTCCCATGCCCTGTAATTCTGAATTCGTCTAAAAAGGGACTTTTTCGCTGTCGTTAGGAACCGGCACGTTTTCTACCGTTAAAGACGTTGCGCACGATGAAATTCTAAGACATCGGGTTATGACGCTCGCTCACCACCACAGTGAGGTTCGACATGTGCACGCCGACACCGGCTGTATGACCGCGATCGTTTGAGACAGTGGCTTTTCTTATCGGAAACACACACAAGATTTCCATTTCACATCTAGATCTTCCAACATGGATGCTAGACGCAAACACCTAGCACCGTCGACCTTTTATGGGTGAAAGTACCCTCATATACATCTTTGAGGAATGATATCCTGCATAACTTCCAGCCGCTTATCAGCTTCCCGCTGAAACGTACCTTAGATGTCTAAGAGATATCTGCTGTGCACAGGTGTAATGGGTCATCAGCGGAGGGGATGATAAGACCAAGATCTCGATCTTATCTTCGCAAGTCCATGATATAAAGCGAAGCAGAAATCTATCAGTTCCATTCACTTCATTGTCACTAGCTAGTCTTTAATTCACGTATCCTCGTCTCAATTACCTACCTACAACTGTAACTGTCACCACCATGTTTAAGTCACACGTCAGAAAGGATATTGAGACGCTATCTCAATCGGAGCGTGATACTCTGATTCGAGCTTTCGACTACATCGGCAAGCTCAGCCCGGAAGATCCCAACTCGTTCTTCGCTCTCGCCAGCTACCATGGCTTGCCTGGGCCTGAGGGAAACTCGCAGAAAATGTACTGCCCTCATGGGAATGTACTTTTCCCAACTTGGCACAGAGCCTACCTTTTGCGCGTGGAGAAAGCTCTGCAAAGTGCTCCAGGATGTGGGCATCTCGCTTTGCCCTACTGGAACCAGACATCTAAGAGCTCTCTGAAAGGTGGACTTCCGTCCATTTTCACAGACAAGAGCTACACCTTTGCAACCGGTGACACCATCAACAACCCGTTGTACTCCTACACCATGCAGAAGGCCGTGGATGGCCTCAAGTACAGCAGTAACGCCACACACTCGAAGCCTGTTGGTTACACCACTGTTCGTTATCCTTACTCCGGAAGGGTGGCTTCTGAGGAGGTTGCGGAGGTCAAATCCCGCAACAGCAGCCTCGAAGCGCTGCCTCATAAGACGATCACCGGAGCTTTGGATGAGAACATCAGGAAGTGGCTCGCACCTGGGTCTTTTCCTGGCGTGGCAGAGAACTACCACCAGTCCCTGGACGCACCGAGTTACACGGTGTTCTCCAACATAGCTTCCGCCCAGGAATGGAATACGATGAATGCGGGAAACCCTCAAGTCCCCACTGTTGTCCCACTTGAGTTGCCTCACAACTCTATGCATCTGGCCATTGGTGGCTTCCAAGTCCCTGGTGCCCCATCTGTTCATTCAGCTTCGCAAGGCGACATGGGAGAGAATGAGACGGCAGCCTTCGACCCCGTCTTTTACTTCCACCATTGCTTCATTGACTACATGTTCTGGAAGTGGCAGGACCAGCACGGCCAGAAGGATCATCTCGACATTATCCCCGGCATGCAGGGTAGCAAGGGGGCTGACATCGACACGCCACTTGAACCATTCACCATGAAAGATCCCAATACGGGAACCGAGCGATGGATGACCTCGAAGGTGAATAAATCAATACTTGGTCCGGTCTGTGTAGATGACTAACAAGATCAGGATGTCATCGACACTGTCAAGCTTGGCTATAACTACGCAAAGCCCCAGTGGCAGAAGGTTCATGCAACCATTCGGGAAGCCGACGCGGTCAACGCCCCGAAGCTGACTGTAAGCGGAATCAATCGGTCGAAGATTCGTGGATCCTTTATCGTCTCCACATGGGTGAAAGGACAGAACGGGGGGCCTGAGAAGGTTATTGACATCAAGCCTATACTGAGCCGATGGGAAGTCGACAGCTGCGAGAACTGCCAGAACTATCTGGATGTGAGATCCCACACACAGTTGACCAACTTCACCGACGAAGAGATCGAAGACATGGACTTCTTCGCTCTTGTGCATACCAGAGAGCACCCCGATGGCATCGACACAATCGATGGGCAACCTATTGAGGTCGAGTTGGGTGCGCTGAGGGGTTGAATGTCGGATGTTGCTCTGGCGCTGCCAGAAGCGTACCGCGGCTCTCAACATGCTGGATCATCCAAAGAGCTGCCGGTCGGAGATGGACAAGGTTTCTCGTAGCTTGGTAGCAGTAGTTTGCTGTTGACGCCATTCCACTCTTTCGCCTTTCATCTTGTTCAAATCCTTCTGCTCGACCCTCCCCGTGAAAGAGGCTGTGACTGATACGCATCGCATTGGTCAGGAAATGAATATCATTTCGGTTATGTTATTCCGAGCGACCTTGACCTGCGACCAAAGATCATATTCTCGGCTGCGGGGTTACCGGCAGCGACTGTATAGCTGAGACTTGTGCTTGATGCAGTGTAAGCAGTAGTGGCGTGTTGAGGTACATTCAATCTTGAATGAGAGACCACATCAGGTCTCAGGTGTAGGATAGTCCTAGATAAGGCGACGCGGCCTCTTGCGAACTTGTATGGCAACAAATAGCTCACTAAACGCATACTACGAGAAATAAGTAGTCGCTAGAATACCATTCTTCTTGGTTTCATTGCGGAGCATGGCTTCTGAGTCCTCAATCAGCCCTCGAGTTCCATCACTGGATGGCAAATTGATTCTCTTCGGGAACGTGAACATCGTTCCTGACCACTATGACGACGTGTGGCCCTCATTTCTCCTCTATCTTGCCCATGTACTGACGACTGCAGTGGCAAGCAGCATACGATGATCTGGCGACTTACGTTTTCGCCAAAGAGCCCAACACTATAACGTATTACTTTGGGCTCCCCCTCGAGTACGCTGACAACCCATCACGGACACCTTACCTCTTCGCCTTCGAGATATACTCCTCACGAGAGGACCTTTACGATGTGCACCTGAAGTCCGAAACGATGGCAACATCATTCCTCCCAGCCGCGCTCCCTGTTATGGCGACGGGCCTGGACCTCGTGCACTACGACGTCGCGGGCGGCTTCCTCGACCGCAGCGGCCGAAAGGCGGAGTGCGGCATCATGGAAGACACCCAGATACGATGCACAGACTCTGCAGCGCGTGCAGAAGTCCTCGGAGCTTTGAAGATGCTGTGTCGCGCAGCGAAGGATGATGACGACGTGTTCACGTTCTTGGCGCTGCGGGGGCAGGACGACGAGATCAGTGCGAGAATCTTTGCGCGGTTTCGTGATCGAGATTCGATGGAGCGATGGGCGAGAACTGATGTCGTGAAAGGGTTTTGGGAAGTCGTGAAGGAAAATGTTAAAGATATGGGTTCCCGTGCGTATGCTCCCAATGGTAAGGGCTGGCTTTGGAAGTAGGCATTGCAGAAATCGGGACGCATCTATCCTACGTATGACTAGGCTTGCAATGGTCTTATCGATGCGTTCGGTCGATGATACTCGGCGGGTATTGGACCGACTTTGAGCGGGCCCCGGTCTGGAGCCTGGGGGCTTGTTCAAGGGTCGAGGATGATTGACCGTCGTATACTGATGGTTGGTCGCATGTCGGGCTGTTTGTTGCAACAAGTATTGAATCATTGTGTGCTCTTCACCACTCATCTACTGTGCAAGACTTTTAATATACAAACTCATTGCATCCTCATGGTCCGCCAGTCTTTGTGGCCGCATCGTCATTGAGAGCATCGGCGCTGGCAAGTTCTCTTGCAACTCAGCAACCGAAGGCTTCCGACGTCCTCGGGTTATTGAGAACTTTCCCCCGGAGCTGCTCGACTGACCCACAACTGGCACTCATACAACGTGGGCTAAATGAAAGACATCAGTTACGAGCGGTTAAATCACTTACTCAAGTTTTCCTGCAACTCGCTACCATTCGCCGCCGGTTCCGCTTCAGGGCAACTACCCACTTGTTTAGCTCAACGTTATTTAGGCTTCCGCTTCATTCCCGGCCGAGATCACCACCCGACGGGTAGATCAAATGATGGGCGCTGTCTGATTAGATTAAATGCATGCAGTGCTACTTCGTAGGAGGTAGTAGAAAGGTTGCTCGAGAGTGGGGCGGCACGTCGAGAGACATGTTGTGATCAACAGGGGTCTACACGCTGTGATGGATCTGTGGGAATATCACTTTGTTCTTTCTTTGATTCTCCCCGTTTCTCATCTTTTTTTAATTCATGTTACTTTAATTTCCCCCCATTTGCCAGATGATCTGGAGGGATTGTGTGGAAGGACCACACGTTGAGCCCGAAACAAGAACTGCTCTGCTTACGGTGAACCCCAAATACCATCTCCAATTTCCGCCTTTAACTGTCTGGAGCACTATTTCTGTCCAACCAGTGACTTTCCAACCTGTCCAGCAACGCATTCACCAGCAATCAATGGGCCGCCTTCCTCAAATTTACCAGCAGCGGACCCCGCCGTGCAAGAACATAAAGCCCCTGGTCATCCCAGTTCCGACACGACTCATCGAGCTCCATGTCGAACTCCCAAAGCAACTTAGCGAGGAAGGTCTGGGTGGTGAGATGGGCTAGATTTCTCGCAATGCACTTCCTGGGGCCGTAGCCGAAGGGGTTGAAGGCATCGCGGTCGTCGCTCTCAAACTCAGCTGGTCTGTCATCAAGCCATCGCTCGGGCCGATAAGAGTCGGCGTCGTAGAAGTTGGAGGCTGATCGTGAGGTTGCGAACTGGTTGACGCCAACAATTGTGCCTCCTCGGACGAACTCGCCGCACTGGGGGTTTTGGTTAGACACACAGATGAAAAGAGAGAGAGAGAGAGATGAGGACACAAGAAACCTACAATTTGGGCGCCAGCTGGAGGGACCTGGCGAGTGAGAGTTCCTGGGATGGTTGGACGTCTGCGCAGCGTCTCTCGGAAGCAAGCAAGCAGGTAGGGCAGGTTCTGAACATCCTGAGCCGTGATTTCATCCGATGACTTGAAGGCCGCCCGGATCTCTTTCACGGCTTCGGCGTATGCGTAGGGCGTTGTCAACAAGTGGTAGATGGTGCTGATGATGGAAGACGGCATAGCTTCTGGGGTTCCGAGGATCAAGTGCACACAGTTGATCCAGACCTTGTCGTCTTGCAAGCCTTCGCTCTTTGCCCTGCTCATCAGGTAGGAAGCAAAATCGCCAGAGTTGTCTCCGCCAGCATGCTTCTCATCGGCCATTCGCTTGAGGACCATGTCGTGGACCTCCTTGACCGGCAACACGCAGTCGTAGCCCGTGAATCCAGGCATGCCCTCGATGGCGTTGACTAGGATCTTGGGGCTTCGGCGGAACTGCAGATAATAGCACTGAACCCAGTCAAAAAGCCTTTTGAAGAGGGCCAGTGAAGGGTGAACGGTTCCCTGCGACATGATGGCGTTGAGGTCGCGTCCCACCGTGAGTTGTCCGCCGAGATCGAAGAGCGCATTCTCGGTCCACGCCCCGATGTCAACCACGGCCGAACTGCCATCATCCGAGAGCGAGGGCGACCGAATATGGGCGTTCAGGCCCTCGATCATCCTGTCAATGCATCCCGTGATGATGTGGCCCCGTTCAACCAAAGCCTGATGCGAGAAGGCATACGCAAGCGTCCGCTTCTGCGGCCGGTGCTCGTCGCCGTCCGAATCAATCAGTGCCTTGTGTTCGGCAAAGACAGCTGAGTATAAGATGGGGTCCTTGTTGAAGAGCGTGGTCTCGCCGTTGGCTTGCTTGTTGCGCCCGTAGATGTCCCTAAAGGCCTCAGCGCAGTTGTATGTCAACTCATCGGGCGCAATTCGTACCACGGGCCCATACTTGGCGTGCAGGCGCTTCAAGTCGTAGGGAATTTGGCCCTGGGTGTAGCGGATAACATAAGGAAACCTCGAGGCTCGCCACAAAAGAGGTCCCGGGTAGGAGCGAAGTGGGTGGAAGAAGAGGTTGTATATCGCCTTGGATATCAAGGCTAGAATAATAAGTGCAGCTGTCCAGACTGACATGGGCAGCGACACCAGCCGCTCACTCAGAAGCCCGAGGACTGTCATGGTGGGTTATGTTGTTGATGTCTGGACAAACTTCAAGATGCCCGTCGACCTGATTGAAACTACAGATAATGGCAGAGTAGAAGTCATTGTTTAATAAACCATGGCCTGCAATTGGTTCCATTTGCCTCCTTCTCGTCCAAAAGCACCCACCGAACCAGCACGGTTCACGAGTCACGCGTTCACGAGTCACGACGGTATTGCCGGTGGAAACGGTCAATCTCGGGCGTTCCGAAGCATTGCCGTCGTGTTAATTTTCGCTTTGGCGAACCCTTCAAGACGGTATGACTCGAGCTTCAATCAGGCTTGCTTATCTCTGAAGCATGAACTCCAGGGGTCTGTCGATCGAAACCGATATGTCTTCAAGAGACCTAGAAACCACGATGTCTTCTCCTTCGCAATCAGGGGAGGTTATCAGTGTCTTGTTGATCTCGTCTCACGCCTCTCTGCAGACCTCTGTGTCTTTTCATTATTGAGTATACTACTCCCCTGTTCACCTGTTGGGTTATATCCATTCGGGTTGCGTGGTCCTTTTCCATTCCGGTACCTTGCTGTATCATATTGTACCTCAGCCTCCTCACCCGTCAACTTTGACATTTTTCGTGGTATGCGCCTCGCGACATCTTGTCTCTCCCCGCCATGGCCTCAACAATCATGAACTACCAAGACTGCGGTCCGATGCGGTACAAGTCCTCGGTTCCGGTACCTGCATCTTTGTATGAGAACACTGCCTACCCCTCCAAATTCCGTCCGAGAATCAGCAAACACGTGGACGTGGCCGACAAGGCGTGCTGGGAGGCGTGCGACGACTTTGAAAACGCCACTGGGTTGAAGTTGAAGGCCGACAGCGTTGGATGCATCAACCCCATCGGCGGCAATGTCAACGCATTGTGGTTTCCAGAGGCCATACCGGAGAGACTTCATATCATTTCCTACCTTTCTGAACTTCTCTTTCGTCATGACGGTCAGTATTTATGATTCTGAGGGGTCCAAACCTTTCTCGACATGCTTCCGAGGTCCGCTAACTCAATGCATGCAGACCTTACCGACGATGCTGTAACACCAGAGCAGGTACGTCGAGATCCAAATCTCGCTGAATGCCTTCCTTGTGGCCCAAAAACTAACATGTCTGTTTATTACAGTTCGATGAGGTCCACGGACCATTGGCGCGATTCCTTGGTTCTGAGTCAAAGCAGAGCGATCATACCACCAAGCACAACGCAATGAACACAATGCAGGCTCGCGTCGCCATCGAGACCCTCGAACAGAACGAACAGCTGGGAAAGCTCGTCATCGAGAAGTGGAAGGGAATTGTTAGTGTTCGCGGGCAGGACGCCTTCATGGAGCACAAGACATTGGACTCGTACATGCACGTGCGGCACTACGACGCCGGAGCCTACTCCGTTTGGTCGCAAATCCTATTCTGCTGCGACATCAGCCTCACCGACGAGGAGCTCACAGGTCTGGAGCCCCTCACCTGGCTGGCCTTCACGCAGATGATTCTGTGGCACGATTACTGTTCGTGGGATAAAGAAGCAGCCACGTACCTGGAGCGCGAAGAAGGCGGATCCAACATGAGCGCCGTGCAGGTCTACATGGCCATGTACGATCTCGACCAACATGCCGCCAAGGACTTCCTGCTGTCTGAGATCACGAGAATCGAGGACGAGTACTGCGAGAGGAAGGCGAGCTACATGGTTGAGTACTCGCCAGCACCTCACATCACACACTACATCGGTCTGATAGAAATGTGCATGGCCGGGAACACGCTGTGGCACCTTTCCTCGCGCCGATATGACCCGGCAGCTCCCCTTCCCAGACGAGAAGACATTGGAAAGGTGAACCAACGTCCGCTTGATGTTTCCGAGGTCAGCAGACCTGTAGATGGCCCTGAGTCGGACGGCATTATTCTCACTCCGGTCTCGAGCTGTCTGGGCACACGAAGACTCAAACCATTCTGGGATAACCAGCGGACCGAGTATACCACCATGACTCCCGCCGATACCAGTTCCGACCAGAAGAAGAAGGCCAAGGCTTCACACGAGACAAGAGCCGATCTACTGACCGTCTCGCCCTGCGCTTGGCCTGCCGAGTCGGACGAGAAGGACATTCTGGCGGCCTACCTTTACACGGCCGCAAGGCCTGCAAGCGGCGCCCGTGACAAGCTGATGGACGCGCTTGACAATTGGTACCGCGTTCCTCCCGACGCCCTGGCTACAATCCGCACCATTATTCGAATCATGCACAACGCCAGTCTAATGCTCGACGACGTCCAAGACAATTCGCCCGTGAGAAGGGGCAGTCCGAGTGCGCATGTCGTCTTCGGCACGGCTCAGACCACAAATTCGGCAAGCTATCTCATGATCAAGTGCGTGGAGCTGGCTCGGCCGCTGGGCGACGAGGCCTTGTCGTGCCTCTTGTCCGAACTTGGCCAGCTGCACCTCGGCCAAAGCCACGACCTAGCATGGACTTTCCATTGCAAGGCGCCCTCGATACCCGAGTACTACAGCCATCTAGAGCAAAAGACTGGCGGGCTCTTTCGCATGGCCTCCCGTATGATGCGCGCCTCAGCGACCCAGAACAAGCATCTTGACGCCTGCAAACTGATGAGTCTTCTTGGCAGGCTCTACCAGCTGCGTGACGACTACCAGGATATCACGTCGGAATGCCTCTCGACATACGACGATCTGGATGAGGGGAGTTTCACACTGCCGCTGATCCACGCCCTTCACCGCGAGGAAGAACAGGGTGAGGTCCAGCTGCACAGCATTCTTCAAAGCGCACGGGCATCGCGTTCTGCCTCGGCATCGAACAATGATGGAAAATTGTCGGTTGAGACGAAACTGCTGATTCGCGAGATGCTGGAGGAGGCAGGCAGCTTGGAGCATACAAGGGTAGTAATTCGAGACTTGTATGACGAGACGAGAGCCGTGTTGGCCGCGATGGAGAACGAAACTGGGTCGGGTGGCAAGAATTGGATGTTGCGATTGATTACTTTCCAGTTGAAAGTATGACACAGAAACAGAAGTCAGCACTTTAGCACTTTAGTTAGCGGGTCTTAAAATTCAGCGTCGTTGTCTTCAAATACGTGTGCAATCCCGATGTTCGACATGTACACGTGACCAAACCCGTTGACGAGCAGAATGGTTCATGCCGAATTCGGTGAAGAGTGTGGAAGAAGCAAATCAGATGAATAAGAGAGATGAATGAATACCACACACATGGTGGACGAATAGATCATAGCGACGGCCTGTTTGTGCTTTGTTGCCAAGAAACAGGGATGCAAACCTAGACCCCCTACGCGTACATGTAGGGGGCGAGATATCAGTCTCTTATCATTGAACAATGTGAGAGGCAACAAACAAATTGGCTCTTCCGTACCGCATCGGGTTAAATGCTCCAAGATTGTACAAGCAGCCTGGCGAGAAAGAGACTGCTCAATGCCATGAACCTGGGCATTTTAGAACTGGCGCGCACGTGTAAGATTGCTTGAGTTTCTTGACGCCACACAATTCAATGTGCATGTGGAACGTCACTCCGAAAGATTGTACCCAATGTTTATTGTCTTACCGAAGACAAAGGCGCTCGCAGCAATACAGATAACCCTAATCATATCCCATAATCCTTGAGTTTCGAGTGTACTTGGCATGTTAGCTTCCATTATCAGATGACACTACATGTGGCAACTTCGGACTCGGAGGCCAGTTGGGGTCAGATGGGCCACACACACACCGAATCCTCCTCGTAAAACAAGGCTGGGGAGTATTGAAGTACATATTAGGTTGTCGAGACCCGCAGTGTCAGACGTCAATCTATGTCACATTCGAGGAGCCTCACCACCCCCTAGCAAAACAAAAGGATGTGGAATTCAGCCTGGATCCTCCATCGTCCCAACCTCAACCAACAAGAGTATGACAGTGGCGGCTGCCTAGGACGCCACAGCCCCCACGCATACCTAGCGCCCGCTGCCTGCGCTAAATGCTGACCGCTTGCTGCATTTCCATTTCCCTGGTCCGAGCCGAGACGCTAGGTTATCAATTCAGCGTGGTTCTGGCGTTGTACTGGTCGACGTTACGGCTTGCACAAACTGGCGTGCTCTCTTTCAGCGTTGAACGGCACAGAAGAAGCAATATTGTCGCATTCTGGCACGCGACAGCAGATAGGACGTGTGATAATGCAGCCAATCAATACCAAACTGGCGTTATATGCTGTTCACCGCAGGGCTGACATGCGAGGTTGGGCAAGTTGGCGGCCGCCCCGCCATTCCTTGTGTCCTGTGCTACTTCCGTTGCATTTTCTATGTGACCGGTCGCTCTTTTTTTTCCATCGCAATAGATCCTTCTTATTTCACTCTTTTCTCTTCAACTCTCTATAGTGTGGTGCATGAAGCGGATCCAGAGCGCGCAATTACAATGTCGCCGGGTACACATCTAGGAGGCCTTCGTTCTTCCACAACGTGGGCATTTTTTGTTGTTTTTGCGCTCATTATTCTCACCAGAAACGTCGCATACGCCGATGTTTGTAATTACGATGGTGGTTGGTCGATGCGGCGCGAGTCTAGCTGTTCGACTATTGCATCAAAACGTTGCAGTTCCACTTGGGACGGTTCGCAAGTTCTGTGTTGTCCTGATGATTACGTGTGCAGTGGCGAAGATGATTTTGAGAATCAGTACTGCTGCAAAGGTTAGTAAGATTCCAAATGGCACCTAGATTTCTCAATATCCTTCTCTAATAAGCATCTAATGGGGTTTGCTAATCTCTACTCCGAAATAGACAAAAATAGTTGCACGAAACAGGCAATCAACGATCCAAAGGTATATCTTCTTGAGAGCATTTACCTAAGTTTTCGGAACCCGAGCTTAATCCATGAAATTTAGTGTCCAGATCCAACTATGAGCCTGTGGGGAACCAATGACAGAGACGACGGCCTTTGGTGTTGTGCCTCCGAAGATGTGGGTGTTTACAAGAATACCGGGGAAGTAAATGGGCTGGTGTTTCTATGTACGGGAACTGAGGTGACAGCTCTGGCCACGACTCTTTCCTCGGCCACTCTTTTGTCTCAGTGCTCGATGACTAGCACGCCTACCAGCATCTCTGCCAGCACCTCTACTACCGCATCCACCAGCGCCAACGCCTCTGGCGAGGAAGATTCACCGGCGGGTGTCCCTGCAGGAGCTATAGCTGGCGGTGTTGTTGGCGGTGTCGCCGCAATTGCACTTGTGGTTGTCGGAATATACTTCTTGAAGAAGAAGAAAAAGGTGGACCCGGAAGAGCAGCCTTCAACAGAAGTTCCTGTCCAAGAAGGACAACAGTGGTCTCAACAGCGTCGCACTAACTCTCATGGGAGGCGACCCAGTGAGCTGGAAACAGTAGAGCCACGACTTGAGATGAATGGGGTAAAACCGACCTACGAGCTTGATGCAACTGAGGAGCAAAAAAGAGAAAGGGATGTTTCTCCATTGAGTCCACCGAGATGAAACTACGGAGGGATAGGAACTTATGTTCAACACAACTGTGGAATCTGGATTGGAAGAGTTGCCGGAGGTTTGGACCTTCTCCTATCGAATACGACACAGTCTTGCTAAGTTAAGGGCAACGTAACAAGGGGAATTCCACCAAGATGCAGGGCATGGTGCAGAGAACACTTCAAGGCTACAAGTGGGAAGGGCCACAGGCATGACATGTAAATTTGTTTATTTACCTAGGCCATAGAGAGTGACGGCTGCTTCGTGGTCCCCGTGATCCCACAGAAGAGGAATGCTAACATGACTGACTGCTAGCAATGAAGATCATATTTCTAGAGGCCAGCATATTTGTGCGGGCTTCAATATCCCCATAGATCAAGGTTCTTCTCCAGGTTATTTCGGGCCTCTCGCTTGATCATTTCAATGCGTTCAGGGGTAGCCTTGGCCCTCCATCGTTCGAGGAAGAACATGGGAGGGCTGATGTTTTGAATGAACCAATACACAGCAGAAAGATAATCGATGCCTTGGATGTCAGACGGTGGCTCCACGCCAGCTTGGGTAAATTCTTCGTCTCTCATGGTGGCGGTCATCCAGTCAATGGATTCTGATTTTCGCTGCACGTCCTCTTGGGTGAAACCGGTCAGAAGACAGTCTCGAAGGTGTTCTTCTTCCGGATCTCCAGTGAAAGGGGGAATCATAAGTCCGTGGATACTATGGAATGAGTAGAAGTATTCATCTGCCTGTGAGCCAATGTGGCCAAAGTCGTAGTCCAGCAAAGCAGTCAGTTTGTTTGTGGCCTCGTCGAATAAGATATTGTTTCCGTCTTAAATAGAAAATCAGCAAAATGATCGAGTCACTCCATCTGGACGGGGAAGAAGTCACGTACCAAAATCACCATGAACCAAGGTAGGTCGTGCTTCCACTCTGCTAACAAGAGATGTCAGACCGTTGGCGCCAAACTGATGCAATCGGGTTCTCAGATCTGAGTCTCTCCAACCCCGGACAACGTCACACTTATCGGCAAACCCAATCTGAGTCTTGAAGTACTCTTGGTAGAGATCAGACAGTGTCGTGCAGGGTCCGCCACCTGCAATAGGTGTGGGACCACCAATCAAGCTTCCATCAGGGCCAAAGTTGAGGCCACCGAAGGTTCTGGAAAACTCAGGTGGCTTGTATTTCTGAAAATGCTTGAAGACTTGGGCAATTTGTCGCAACAGATCTCTCTTTTTCTCGCTGTCAAGCGTGGGGAACTTATCGCCTAGAGGAACACCTTGTTTGAATTCGATGAGAGTCCATCCAACCCCTTCGGAAAAGGGGCGCCAGCCATAGACTTCGGGTACGAGGGAAGGATCATGGTGCTTCAAAGCCTCTCTTGCAAGAGACATTACCGCGACTTCGTTCTGCACGCGGATCTCCTCGTTCAACATCGACGCTGGATCGGAGAAGCGCATGATGATCTTTGTAGCACAGGGGGGCAGGGGACAGGCACCGAAGCGTTTATTGAATGGCGTCAGAGCTTGTTGCGCTTTGTTTAGACTGATTCTGTAGACTCTGGCATTATTATGGCGGAGAGGCACAACTTCAGTGACCTTTTCTCGTCAGCATTGCCCTTCGTAGGTGCGTGATCAGACGTGTACTCACTTCACGGTTGTACTGCAAGCACAGAATCTCTTTTATGTAAGACTCATAGTTATCAGGCCCCAGGGAAAGGCCAACAACTACGTGCGTTTGGTCCGACATTTTAAGTGAGCGTGATGGTCAAGATATTGACTATTCAGCCGAGAATGTAATTCTCACGATTCCGTTGACTTCTTTGCGGACTTGTGTTCTTAAGTAAGTGTTGATGGTGAGTTTCGGTAGGAAGTGTAGCCGATCCGTGTGTCTGTGATTAGGCAACAGCGTGCCCAGAACTGACGGAGTGTGGCAGTCAGGATGTCGCCATGGCCAAATTCAGCAGGTCCGCGCGAGTTGGGACGACTAGTATCAAAGACCAGGGCTTATGCGCCCCTTGGCTGCAGAAACAACAATCGTCGCAGCAAGACAAAAGAGCCGACACAAGCCAGATCTTTACCTGATCACGATAAGCAACGACAAAAATACGCACCCGTGGACTGATGATGACTCACTTAGTCTAAGACCGATGATGTTCATCTCGAAATGGAACAGACCCGACAATCTGGAAACCCTTGCTGAATAGTGGGCCCTTGATTGACAAGACGCATGTGAGTCTCAAAGCAAGGAGTGTGACGAATGCAACAACACGTGCAGCATCTCAGTGACGTTCCCGTTGCCCCGGATAATCGTTCATCGCAAGCTCACTGAACGGCAAACTTTCATGATTCAGTCACGCCCGGGACTCGTACGCCAGTTCAGCTAGCGACCTTGGCGCCAATTGACATATCCAATTGACCAATGGAAGAATCCCCGATATCGAGAGCAGAGTCCAATTCCATGATAAGGGTCCACTGCCGGGAAATGAGGTTGCGGGGCCCCGGGATCGGCCTGGAGACAGAACAATAAAAAGAGACGAGCCCGCGATGGAATCTCACTCTTCGGCGGATGGTTCATACTTTCTCATCTGGTCAAGCATCACGAAAGTCATCATGAAGACACCCGTCCTGCTCGCAACGGCCCTCGGCGTCTGCGCCGGTGCGCAACAGCTCACTGAGCCACTTGCCTACGGCAACATCACGTCTCTGCTCGACACCATCCTGGCCCGTGGATACATCAACGTCGGGACAACAGGAGACTACAAGCCCTTCACGTATCTTGTCACAAACCAGACCACTCTGCCAAATACCACCGCAATCAACACAACGTACATCGGCGCCGACATCGACGCAGCGCAGTCTCTCTCCAACGCCCTCGGTCTCCCCAGTCCGCCTCGCCTGATCAAGACTGTGTGGGCCAACATCACGTCCGACCTGGCCGCAGGCAAATTCGACATCGCAATGGGCGGCGTCAGCCTCACCCTCGCACGAGCCAAGACGGCCTTCTTCTCAACGGCGATCCAGCGCGTCGGCAAGACGGCTTGCATCCGCTGCGCCGACGCGGACAAGTTCACCGACCTCGCGACTCTGGACCAGGCCGGTGTCAAGGTCGCCGTCAACCCTGGCGGCACCAACGAGGCCTTTGACCGCGCGAACCTGAAGAACGCCGAGATCGTGCTAGTGGAGGACAACAACGCGGTCTACCAGGCCGTGCTGGATGGCACGGCGGACGCGATGATTTCGGATCTCATCGAGGTCGAGTTGCAGGTCAAGCTCCACGAGGGCCAGCTCTGCATTGCCAACCCGGATGCGCCGTTCAACTTTGAAGAGCTTGGATATGCCATCCCGAGGGACATTGTGTGGAAACACTTTGTGGACGCGTGGGTTCACGTTCAACTCGGCAGCGGAGCGTGGAACTCGACCCTAGAGACGTGGCTGAACTACAAGTGGCCAAGCGTATGATAATTATATTCACCCGAGATACCAATAATATCAAATTCAAGGACTTCCAATTACAAACCTAGACCATTTGAAAAAGAAGCGTTTCCCATAAAATTCCCGCGCGGCATGAACGGACTCGTCCTTGGCCAATTTGGTTTTTGTGACGGAACGCCTTTTGCGACATATCCAAAAAGAGCAGCTGCATGAACACGACATGGCCATGGTCGGTCAAGCTTTCTTGTCCAGTTTATCTTTGCCAGGAAGGTGCTCTGCAATTTTTGACGCCTCCAATCCGACCTTCTTCTTGGCCTGCTCCATGGTGGAGGCCATGGAAGGCATCGTGGCCGCATCACCACTGTGTCTCTGGACAAGCACATTCAGCATGCTGTCGCCACAGGGAAGACACACAGAATCAAACTCACCCTCTCCTCCTCGACCTCAGCATCGTGGATGAAGTCATGTCCAGCCTCCACAGCGTCATCCGACAGTCCATGCTGCTTCAGACCGTGATCCTTCCTGTTCGACATTGTAAAATTTTCAACGACGGTATTCTTGATTATAGCTGATGGTAGTAGTGTGAGCGTCAGAAGTCTTACTGAACGACAGGCGCACTCACTGTGGCAAGGCTGGATAGTGGGCGAACCTCAGCTGATATATTCTCATTGAGTTTTCATAATTTGAGGGGCATGTGACAGTCCAACGTCATCCGAATGCCCGACTGAGGGGTTCACGGTCGCCGGCGAAAGTCTCAGGGACACCATCACCAAGGGCACGGTGAGCAGCCCCGCATCGATGATGTCCGCCGAACCGTTGTGGCAAGGATTACCAGACAACAACAGTCGCATCTGAACGATTGGAAAGGCGGGGTCGGAACCATCGCGACTTGATCCAGGCCTGGCTTATTGCCTTAAACCACGAGTCTGCGTTCACTTTCGGATTGGATGAGAGGAGGGGTTTACGTAGACTCGGCTTGTAGCTGGAGGGGTATGAGGAGAAGCTTCAATTAGAGAAGGTCCCTTAGGCGTATGTTTGCGTTTGATTGAGTCACCCCCTGGTAATGACACAAAATGCTAGGTGCGTAGCAATGCTGGTTTGTTCTTAGAATTATCATTAATGATGCCAAGATATGTTGTTGGAAGGCATAATTAAGTCTTTGATCGCGGTGATCTTCATTGTGATATATCTGATGATGCCTCATGTTAGTGAGAGAAGGGCCTAAGACGAAGGCGCTGTTGTTAGTTGGTGAGATAACGACGCATAGTGCAAATGAAACTTTTTGAATTATTAAACATGCGGACTCATTCTGACACGTTAAAGTCTTCTCTATCACTATGTCTACCTCAACAATCAATGCACTCATTGACAACTGATGCGGCGGGACACGGATTGCTAGCGGCTCACGACTTCACCATCTTCATCGCACAATTGTTGGGCCAATTTCATGTCAAGTTTAACTCAATTATATATTACGTTTATAGTTAATAATACTTGAGCTATTAAAACAAGCATCCAATTATCCTGGAAAATGCCATTGGCGCCGCTGGAGCTTGTGACGTTCTTGGCTGACGCTGCATCGGCGGATCTGTCAGGGTCGTCTCCGACCGGCTGAGTGATCCAATCCTTGGGGATTTGCGTAATGAAATCGTACCAATAGTCTCCCATGGTGCGATATCCCTCGTCAGATGGATGGATGCAGTCTGAACGTAGGATGCCGTCGCCTAGCGCCGCAAAATCAACAGCAAGAACGTGCTTGCTAGCATTTTGTCGCTGCTCCACAATATCCGGGATGAGTCCCTGGAAGACCTCGGTCTGGGGCCGCTGGTCTGCAACGCAGGTGTTGATGATCTGCGCGACAAGGACGGTGGCATCCGGGCAGGCCTCGAGCATCTGGTCGATCAGGGCCCCGAGCCGTGCGGCGGCGGCGGCAGGGTCGTTGCCTTCGGTGGAGATGTCGGGGTTCGGGTTCATGTCATTGGTGCCGGCGTGGAGCAGAATGACGTTTGGGCGCTGCGTCAGGGATGGAGGGACGTTATCCGCAATGTACTGGATCGTTTTTCCAGACCAAGCAGCCTTGAATATGGTAAGCAAATATGAAATATCGGTGAAGCGGGAGATGCACTGCTGACTTACAAAGTACGGATCGGTCATGTTGCCAGAGGATTCAGTTCCGGCGAAGACGACGTCATTGGCTGGGAAATGTTAGATACCGCTCTCATGTGAGTGAGTGAAGAGAATTGAACTCACCAGACAGGTTTTCTTGCAATTTCAACCTGTAGCCATTTCCATCGGTGCTGAGATACCCCACGGTGACAGAGTCGCCGACGGGCAGGATGCGCAGCTCGACGCCGTCCTTGATGACCTGCCCCGCGGCGGCCCCCGTGTAATTGAGAGAGTCAGCCGCGAGGGCCAGCGGGGCAGCGAAGGCGACGGCACTGGCGATGGAGAACCTCATAATGACAGCCGGGAGCAGGACGAAAGACAGACACACAACAACACGAGAGAGACATCATGGCAACAGGCGCCTCAAGAGGGGTGGGTGGCAGCTTCATATAGCGTCGGAGCTGTTGCGCTCGCCATTTCGAATGGACGGGTGCGGATACGCCCACGAAGGCCGAACGCCAACGGAGTGACAAGGTCATGACAGCCCAGTCTAGCCCAGGGCATGCCTCGGGCTCATACTCAGCCCAGTCGCTCTCCCCACTCGTAACCAACATGAACGGGCAATTTCCAAAGGGTCAATGCCAGGCAGACATCAGCTTCCTCGTGGGAAATGCTGACATGCTGAGGGCAAACCGCCAATGGGAGACAACGGATCCAGCTGGAACGGAGTCGATTGGTCGCATTGAACGAACGAAAAGTCCGCGAGGGACAGAGAAAAATGACCCCATCTTCTTGGCCCCACCGACGTGCCAAGGAGTTCAAGGACAAGGCCTGTCATGAATGGAACTGCTCCTCGCTCCCACACCACCACGATGAAGCAAATGCTGCGTCGGCCAACGTGATCAGGACGATCAAAAGCCGTTGGGCGGGCTTATTCTCCTAGTCTCTCCCTTACCGCGTCGTCCGCCGTAGCTAGCGATGATACCTGCAGAACAACCCTAAGCAGGTAACGGTGCCAATGGCTGCGACGGGCCGCGTAGCGGGCTGCCGGCAGTTTGCCAAGGTGGCTGGACCGAGGCGCCCAGGAGGCACAGGAAGCGCAGTTTAATCCCGCGACTGCCTTCTCGTCTCTTCGTCACGAGGCTGCGGACGAGAGTCGGTGTAGCCGGGCGTAAAGGAGAACATGGGGGATGATGGAGCCTTCTCGCAACTTGCCGCTCCAGTGATATCGGCCATCGGGAATAGTTGATGGCAAAACTTAACATTAAGCGCAATGCTAAGAGCAGAATGTCCAGCGTGCGTGAGTTCACTCGGCCCGCTCCCTGAGTGCCCCTGCGCCCACGCGAACACCATTTCTGTGCGCCGCCCGAAGCCGCTGCCGCTGCCACAATATGGCGCATGAACACCCCGACATGAGATGGAAATGCAGCAGAGCAGCCCTCTACAGGACAGTCCCTTGTTCATTCCTGCTCCCTTAATGGGGACTGTTGCCTCTGTCTTTTTTTACATTTCATCAGCCAGGCAGCAGGCACAAACCATGCACCCACAAGAGCATTTGCCGAGAAAAGGGGGCTCAGCTGTCAGCACTGCATGTTTATTCTAGCGTCCCAGCGCATGAAAGCTTGGGTCTCGTTTGTTCAGGGTTGACCAGATGAACTGCAGTTCGGAAAGGAAGAGCTTTTCCTGATGACATCCTCAATCTGTCCCATGACTTTCTCTCTTCCAACTCTGCAGACTGCAAGAAACCATTTTCGGGCCTTGACATCATCAGATCTGCCGCTAAGGGCGATCAACCCTGGACCGCAACGTAGAGACATACTGACGTCGCCTAAGAAGCCGTCATTCAGTGATCGCCGCGATCAAGCTCATGTCCTCCGCAGAAAAAAACCGACCAGGGCCCCGCCAGCGCATCGGTACCGGTCCACCATCGGCACCCTCTATCCGGCCCTCCCGGTCATCTGACGTCAAACACGCGGGTGACGGTTTAATGATGATTTCTTGGCCATGAGTTGCGATGGCATCTCGTGAGGGCCTATTTTCAACATCAACATGCATCTTTGAGACCACCAGACCGCTCGATTAGAAGTCCGCGTACTCAATTCTCATACGTGCTTCACACCTGGTATTGCCGATCGCAAGCGTCGTCATCGGCGTCGTCGCCATGAAACAAAAGCCCCTACTTCTCGAATCAAACACAATGGGGAGAACCGTCGCATGCAACGCCGATGTCACCTCAACCGCCTCCTCGATCTCAGGATGCCCCCAATTTAGAGGGGACCAGACCTAGTAAATGTCAAAGCTACAGACATGGTTAATATTTTGCAACCGCGATAGTTCAGACGCCCGTTTAATCTTTTGAGTTCTCTAGCACTGCAACGCGCGTTAAGCGTCCGGTCCTTATCTCCCCGAAGCTACTCCGCAGACATGAAAATTTCTTCTTATTCAGATGGAATTGAGATGAACTTATTGAATCGATTAAAGAACGCAAAGATACAAACCTTTCCATGGTCTACTTGCCCACGAGGCTTATGTCCAGCACCGAAATAAGTTGCCAACATGAATTATTGACGGCGACGCTTATTTCTCCCAAAATTACACTTCTCACAACCATTCATGCAAGGGTCTCGAACCACAATGCAATCGTAAATAACCTCGCCATTCTCTGCGACACCAAATGGTTTGGGCTGTGCATCTGAAGAAGATCCCTCGCCGTTGTCAGCCTGTGTTTGGTTAGCATCATCATCAACTACATCATTAGCAGGCGATGGAGAATCCGCGCGCGGAATGTCATATTCAAAATCCATGCCATCCTCTGGATCAACTGCCGGCTCTGAAGGGGTGGGCTGAGGGGCTTGGGGAGGATGAGGTGCTTGGGTAGGAAAAATAATACCAGTTTGACTTAAGCTCAAGAGAGCGAGAGCAGCTTCCTGCCGAGCCTGCTCTTCGGCTCGTGCGCGCTCTTGAGCGAGTTCATTCTGTTGCATAGCCGCGATAACAGCGGCGGCACGATACTCACAGAGGTTTCCGGGCTGACACTCGCCCTTGGAGCAACAAGTCCACTCACCTCGGATCCAACGATTGCGGACCCCAGTGACGTTCATGGTGATATGAAGCGGCATCGCACCTGTCTGGCCAATTGGTTGCATGTAGGCTGGCTGGATGTTTACCACGCCGCCGTGACCGATACCTAAGCAGGCGGCGCAGTGGATGTGGGTTGGGAAGTTGGATCGTGTCATAATGTCTCGCGATGCGGTCCATGAGAGGATGTTGTTAGTCTTGGCGTCGGGGGCTGCGCGATAATCGGGGCATTGATCGGGACGCTGGCTCAACACCAGGCGGCCTAGGCAGTTGGCGTCTGGGCGGTAGCCCATCTGGCTGGCCTTTTGACAGAGGACGTAGAACGGATTCGGTGTTGGGATGAGGCGGAGGAGGGGTAGGCGGATACCGTGCTCCTCCGAGCGGCAGGCCGAGGAGCAGCAGACGAGGAGCTCTTCTAGCTGTTGGCACATGGTCGTTGATGATTTCAGGTTTTGTCTGGTTCTAGATATTTGTTAGTCTGATGATCTTCGTGCTACTCGAATATGTAAATCTGTAGTCTGTCAGCTAGTTGGTAATGGTCAGAAGCTTCCTGTCAAAAGGCGATGCATCTAGGTTCATCCAAGTTTTATAAAAGTTGTTTGGGTATGCAAGCAACTGAAAGATAAAGCATGTATCTTTCCATCGTAATACTTGAGAAAGAACAGAGAATCAGTTGCGAGACAACAAGACTTTGGAAAAGACGAGCAAAGCGCACAAAGAACCATATGTCTCAAAGTCTTTGTTTATGGACATCGATTAAGTATTGATCGTGTAATCATAGAGTTCTGCAAAGGGACGCAATGACTTCACACAAAGAGACCACTCGTCAAGGTGCTTTGCATGCACATTGTCCAGAGCCAGAGAGAAGAAAACAAAGACTTGTTATCTCCGCGGAATATCTACAGACTTGGTAAACACCAGCTTCCTAGCTAACCAGCAATCGAAGGTAGCACCTGATACAGAACCACCGTCTCCTCGATGGAACACGACAGTCCAATCGCCGGGGGCCGGTGCATCCATCCCGCGCGGACACGACATCAACCAGACGTCCTGTCCGATGTATTTCATAAGATGAGCTGGACCGTGTCCCAGATAGCCGTTGAATGAACCAAAAAGCATCCCGCCTTCGTTTCGGCAATAGAACGTCGAATCAATCTCAGCGCAGTGAAAGTCGCCACCAAACGCAGAGTAATTAACCGTCCCTGCTTGCAAGATGCGGGACGCTTTCAGGGCCCGATTCTCCTTCACACGATGAATCTTGAGCTGATTCCCATCGATCTTGGCCACCATCCCAGGCGACTCGGCGTGCTTCGGATCCTTGAGGTTAATCGCCTCCGCGGACCCGGCGTAGGAAATGTTGACCTTGCCCTTCGCGCCTTGGGACACGGTGATGGCGAGCTGCGTCTGTTCGTCGAGGAACGTGCCGAACCAGCTCGAGTCTGCGTCAACCGGGGCAGGTTCTGATTTCTTCAAATCAAGCAGGCCTCGGATGATTTCCTCGGCTGGCGCTGCTGAGCCGCCCTCGTGGTTGAGCAAGACGACAACGGAGATCCGTTCTTCGGGAGCATGGACTCGGTAGAGACGGAAACCGCGCAATGCGCCGCTGTGGCCGACTACTTTCACGTTTTCAATCTTGCCGTGGCCCAGCCCTTGGGCATAACCAGCCGGTGTCCCGTCTTTGTACAACGGCTGCTTCAAGGCCGCTTCATACCAACTACCCCGCTCGGTCGAGATGCGGTCCAGGTATTGCTCATAAGCAATCATATCGTTAAGGGAGGCAACAACGCCGGCATCGCCAGCCCACTCGATCTTGTTATCGGCAGGGAAGAATCCGCGCTGCTCATCTCCTTCGTATCCGACACACGGAGGCGGCAGCTGTGCAGTATCGGCCGCAAGCCGTGCGGTCTTCATCTTTGCCGGGCCAAAGATGCGTTGTTCAAGCAACGAGGCGATCGAATCTCCAGCCACTTGTTCCACGATTCGGCCCAAGATGTGGAAATTTGTGTTGGCATATGAGTACTCCATACCGGGCTCGAAGTGGAACGACTGGAGTCGCTCGATCATGAGCTTGCTGTGGTCCGCTATCGAGAAGCGGTCCTCCGGCTGGGCTCCCCATAGCACGCTTAGAGCCCAGTAATCCCGGATGCCTGACTGGTTGTTGGCCAAATGGTCAATCGTCAGGGCTCCGTCACGGGTCAGGTTTGGATGCAGAAGTGCTGTCATCTTGTCCGAGAACTTCGCTTTGACGTCACCCTTGTCGGCCAAGCTGGCGGGCGGATTGTGCTCCAAATCGTACATGAGAGCGCATAGCATCTGCTTTGAGATTGAGCAGATTGGCAGCAGAGTTTCGGCGGTCATGGGGATCTTGCGGACGAGGTCGGCGTAGCCCCAGACCCGTTGCCCGATGAGCTTGCCGTCTTTGAGCACGGCGATTGCGCCGCCCGGCCCCCGCACGCGGGACGGGATGCCGTCAAGCAGTTGTTTTGTGACTTCTTCGGACACTGGCATCCTTGCTGTATGATAAATACTATGATCAAGTGGTTTCGGAGACTGGGAGTTGATGTGCAGTCAATAGAGTTAAGGCTGCGGTGGGTTGTGTTTGATAGGATTATCAAAGCGACCCATCAAATCAGCGTGCGCTGGCAATGGTTGTGTTCAATCATGTGACCTTATGCATGACACCGGAATTCCTTGAGATTTCGGCGTATTCACCCCACCATGAGGTTATTGATGATTTCACGGAGAGGGCTGGGAGACCAAAATTGGACCAAGATAGTGACTATCTAATATGTGATTCAAATCCTAATTCCTACAGCGGCTCGCCTTACTCTAAATTGTTTCCTCAAGGGCCAAGATACAAGATACATACACCCCAGCGGTGCATTCCTACATCCGACTTCTAACATCCACTACTCAACATACCTAAAGAAAAAAAGGGGGGGAAACGCATCATCAGCCCACTCCTTTTGCCATCAGCGCAGCATACTAATTAATTAAGTTAAAACTGAGGCTTAAGATTAGCTAATTAAATAACTTTTCGCAATACTTTTAATTATTTTAACTAATTTAATTTAATTTAATTTAAATTACCTAAATAGGAAATTAGTAAAGCTCTTATAATATTTTTAGAAAGTTTAAACTTATATTATATAATAATCTAAAGTTATATAGCTTTCTATTAACCCCTCTATTTAAAGTAGTAGCTACTAATAGTAATACTATTACTTTAAATCTAGTTCTAGAAATATTAAGTTTTCTTAAACTATAAAAGCTTTATTAATAGCTTCTATAATATTAGAACTAACTTAATAAAGTTAAATACTCTTTTATAATTTATTATTATTATTAGGATAATAAAGATATTAAGAGTAAGTTTATTAAATATTAAGAAAGTCTATTAATATAAAATCTACTACTAAATAAGGTTATTAATAAGCTTAATAATTAAGAAGTTAAAGTATTATTTTAGTTTATTAGTTTTATTAATAGTAGTATTATAAACTTTACTATTTAATTATTAATAATATTTAAAGTCCTTAGCTTTTAAAGTAATAATAAATAATAAAAAAGTAGCTTATTAAGGCTTTAGATAAAGTTAATAATTAATAAGGTTAGATCCCTTAGTATATTATTATTTTTAGTACTTTTAAAGTCTTTCTTAAGTATTATAAAGCTATTTATAAATCTCTAGTATATTTTAGTATTTTTTAAGTTATTATAAGTTTTAGCTAAGATATAAAATCACTATAGTAATATAGAGGGGAGACTTTATAAGCTTAGTATAGTATTTATTAAGTACTTATTAGCTATTAATAATTAATAAGTATAAATAGCTATAAGAGTTAAAAATATTATGCTAAGGGTATTATAAAGGTATATAATTAGACTAAATATAAGTTAGGATACTATTAATTAATAAGACTTATAAAGCTACTATTAAAGCTTTTAAAGAGTATTATAATACCTTTATAGGTTAAAATAGTTATTATAACTAACTCTAAGTAAGTTAAGTAGCTATAAAGTTAATTTCCTTATTAGTAGGAGTATTATAAAGCTTATATTAGTTCTTAAGTTAATCTAAAAAGTACTCTATACTTATTAAAACCTTTTAAAGTTAATTATACTTATTACTTTTACTTTAGTTCTTATATTTTTTAATCTATTTATAAAGTAGCTTAAATATATTATTTAACTTTATAAAGATCTATTAATCCTTATTAGTAAAAGTATCTTTATTAAAAATATAATCTATAGTATATTTAAAGCTTTAAGTATAAAGTATATAACTATTAATTTAGCTATATTTAAATAGGATATACTTAACTATTATATATATTAAGTTCTATTAAGTAGTATTATTTAGTATTAAGTTTAGCTCTTATAATAACTCTTCTTATAAAGTAAAGGTCTTATTATTATTATTAACTTTATTATTAATAAATAAAAAGCTTTTAGATTATTATAGTAATAATCTAATATACTTAATAATATTCTAAAACTTACTAATAAAGCTTTTTTACCTCTAATAAGTTAGGTTTTTTTAGGTTTTATTAAGACTAAAAAAGAAGTTAGACTCCTCCTTAAATACCTTATTATTAATATTATAAATAATAGTATAACTAATAAAGTTAAGGATATAATTATAATATTAAATTTAATATTATTTAGCGTTAATTTCTATATATATAGGTAAAAGAGAAGGGAAAAGAGCTTTAAAATAAGAGTTATTATTTATAGTATTATTAGAAATAGCTATATTAACCTTATTAAATAAACTTTAGTTACTAAGAATAATATAAATAATAATAGTAATATTCTTACTAAAGTAAGCACTAAGTTAATAATAAAAAGCTAAGAGGTATTATATCTACTTACCTACTTTATTAATAAAGTAGCTAAAAATAATAATAATTATATATTAATTAAGTGAGGTCTATAGATTAAATAATATATAAACTTTAGTAAGTGCTTTTTATATCTCTACTTAGATCTATACTTTTTTAGAGGTATAAAGTTAGTTAAGTAAAGTTTTCTAACTTAACTTTAACTAATATATTTAGTTAAAAATATTATAATTAAAAAAGCTAAATATATACTATATATATTAATTACTAAATATTAAGAAAAAGTTATTAATATTAATAATAAACTTAAAAGCTAGCTTTTTAATCTATAAAACCTTACTTTAAAGTATAGTAATAAGAATAAAACGTTAATACTTAGATAGAAGCTTATTATTATTAGAATTATTATTAAATATACTCTTAGTATAAGATTAATTTTAAAAGATATAATAGATAGTCTTAAGGTATACTTTAGTATTAAATATAATAGAAACTTTCTAAAGTATATTAAGATATTTAGCTTTATTATAATATTAATAAATCTAATAAATATTACTTAGATATATTATTAATATAGTTAAAAGTAGAGTAAAGAAGTAATATACTTTAAGTACTACTTTAAAAGATCTTATAAATAAAAAAGCTTTTATTCTTAATCTAAGAAGTATAGCTTTAGCTACTTTTCCTTAAGATATACTTAATATTAATAAAGCGTTAACCTTTCTATATAGTATAAAATAAAGCTTTAAGACTACTATAAGTAGTAAAATTAATAGTTAATATATTACTAATAATTAATAAAGTATAGATCTAAATAGTAATCCTATAAAGAGTTAATATATTATAGTTAATAAAGTAATTAAAGTATTAATTATAAACTAATATAAATATTATAATAATAAGTAAGAGGTTAAAAAAGATACTAAGAGGTATATATAAGTAGAGCTTTAAAATATAGAGGTAGATATAGTAGTAATAATAGTAGTAGTATTATTAGTAATATTAAAAAAGGGTTATTTTTAAAAATTAATAAAGAGGTTAAAAATAAACTTTTTTTAAACCTTAATAAAGAAGCTAAAAATATATTAATTAAGTTAATATAGTAAAAAGCATATTTCTAGTACTTTTAGTACTTCTTAATAATATTAATCTTATTAATAAGAAGTATTTAGCTCTATTTTAGTATTTATTAGTTTAAAAGTATTATTAAACTAATATTTATAACTATTTACCTTTTTTTTTTTTAGAGATATATTATAATAAAACCTAATAAGCTAATAATAAGTCTACTATATAGAGAATTATAGAAATATTAATTTAAAACTAACTTAAGTTATTAATTATAATATAAAAGTTTAAAAAGTTATAACTTTAAGTAGTTAGAAAAGAATATCTAGTTAACTTTTTTATTTTTTTATTAAATTTTTTAAAAATCCTAATTAGTCTAAAAATTAGATTTTCTTTCTTTTAGCTAACTTTAGATTAATTAAAACGTCTAAAACGAGGGTATTATCGTTTTAGCTAATTAACTGCGAAAAAAGCTCTTTTTTAATTAGCTGATTAGTTGAATTAATTGAATAGGATTAAATGGGGTGCTGCGCTGTTTGCTATTATAACCTTTCTTTAAAAAAAAGTTGTCCTGGTATCTTCGACTATGGATGACCCTCCCCTCTTCCCAGACCTGCTCACTTCCCTGCTCGAAATTCCAGATGACCAGATCGACGACCCAGACGAGAATCTAGACCATGACTACAAGGAATGGGGATTCAACATTTACCGCACCGCCTACGGCGGCCCCGACGTGGACAGGGCGTGGGAGGCACTCGTGGAAGATGTCCGTACCCACGTACGCCTCCAGATCCAAGGCCGATACACCGATGAGAACGAGGAAGAAGTCGAGGCCGCAAAGAAGCTGATGTCGCTATTCCATGTCAGCGTTCACTCTGACGCCGAAACGCTCCAGGGAGCCGACTTGGATCATCTCCGTTAAGTCCACGCCGAGAATGTCCGCACGGGCAAGGCACTTTCGAACGCGTGCTGGGCTCTAAGACAGATTTTCTTCGTCGCCGACGGCGAGGTGCTGACCGACGTCGCCAGCGGGGACTTTTGGATCAAATGCGTCGAGGCAGACTATGTGGCCTCGCGACACGTCGGTCGAGACCGCAGCTGTGTGCCCCAGCAGTACTTTGGCTGGTTCAAGATGAGATCGAACCGCTTCATTGAGCTGTGGTTGGAGTTGCAGTTTCACCATCTGGAAAGCATCGCGCCTCCTACCATTGGCGGGATGCATCTTGAGATATGGCATGGGGAGGACCGCCTCTGAGCTTCACGCTTTTCTTTTTTCTACTTTCAGAGCCCCCGGCGATACATACGCAGAGAAATACGCATATATAATGGGAAAAGCCTTCCATGGGGAAATGACTCATTTCATACAGACGATAAATTATTTTGATCAATTTTCCAGTGCGCTTGGTAGAAAAGCAAGTAGAAGGCTTATTAAAAAATATGAGGGCATGGTTAATTTTAAACAATGAGCAACCCATTGGCTTTCATCACTTAGGCCTGATCCAGCGCCTTGTAGATGATCTTCGCATATTCCTTGAACGCGTCATTGCCTAGTCCCGTCATTGACATCTTGTTCATGACATATGTAATGGTCAGTTT